CTATCAACCCTACTAGAAAGTCAGCTGTGTACATGAAACTTTTGATGCCAATCTTTCTTTGGCGTTGTACGTCAGGGCAATATTCACGCATCCAAGGTCTGCTTGCTTTGAAGGCATTGCGGGGTTGCGCTAGGTTTCGGGGGAAGTGCAAGCGCTTTTAAGACCCTCCAGCTGTGACTTCAGCAGTTCAACGTTGTGTGTGTGATGGGCGCAAACCCGAAAATGACCCTGCGGAGAGGTTTGGGGCTGGAAGCTGGATCACGGGAATTCTACCATGGGGCAGCTGCTCTGCTTCGACCAGTTTGAGGGTCGAGGCTTCGGGGCTCAGGTTCTCAGGAAAGTGGTGGGCATGATTCTGAAGAGAAACGCTTCGTTTCAGATTGCCTGGGCTACGAAGTTTGTGATGCCCGGCTCTAATCCTCAATCCGACCTCGTGCTTAAATGCCATGGTGTTCGGTCTCGAAGCAGGGGAAGTTGCATACAAAGACAGTCTCTTCCAAGATTTGCAGGCTTCCCCGTCTTCATCTCTGCCCAAAGCACAACATCTGCCTCAACTCTGACCCTGGCCGATTGTTTTCTCTGGGTTGAGGGCTTGAGGCTGAGCACACCTCCAGCCAAGGTAACTACTACGCCTGGAGGATGCCGGGCAGCAGTTCAGGTTGAGATCAGTAAATCGGGGGCTCAGGATACCTGTTTGTTTTTGTTCTCTTTTATCTGCTGACGCTGCTCAACCAAAGGAATCGCCATGGGTGAAAATGGAAGGGCAAAATCCCGAATTCCAAGGCTTCACATTCCTTCGAAAGGCTTCAAACTTTCTTGGAGCTTAAACAAGAACTAGCAGCGCATGGTCTGAGTGCATGTTTAGCACTGACGATGGATGATGGTCATCATCAGAATTAGAGTTTTCTTGACCTCTTGACAGCACCAGTCTCCTATCCAGGCCCGAGAGCTTCGAGAGGGCTTGCAGTCTCGACACGAAATGGGCCCGAACATGCCGTTTCCCAAAATTGGTTTCCAAACCGGGACATGCCGAGAACGAAACAGGAGTGAGCAAAGTAGTACAACGCAGCTGTAATTTCCGAATCCTCCCTGTGACTGTTGGTCTCGAGCTCATGAAGATGACGACTCCAATTCGCCTGCGAGCACTGTGATTATTGAGACTTTCGAAGATGCCGCGGCCACAACAGACATGCTAGGGTGGAAAAAAAACCTGCTTTGCACACGTTACTACGGCGACTGCCGAGCCTTCCGGCGACTGCCGAGTCCTCAAATGTGTGCTCCGACCAGTCTTGGCTGCCGTTTACGACGAGCTAAGCAAGTTGCCAACAACACACACACACATGCACACGTACATACGTACACATGTATATGTAAGTGTATGTGTAAACATCTGAGCGCTTCCGCCTTTTCTTTAGCTGCACACAGCTACTGTCAACGCGTGGTTCTGGTGTCCCTGTTTCCTCACAGAGTCCCAAGTTAGTGCCGCATCTATCCCAGTTGGGCCTGTTTTGTTGTGGGTTTGATGCTGCAAGGGGCCTAAGCCTGAAGATGCAGTTCGTGGAAAATCCCTTCATTAGGTTTTCGCCAAAAAAAACCGACAGCCCAGTCATGCAACCCTGAAACCCTTGAATCCGAGCAAGCCTTGCCTTGAACCTACACCTTATCCCCGATACCCGGATTTGAAGCCTCGTTACCTTAAATTAGCAGCGCCCACCGATACACCGAAGACCCTTATGCCGACCTTTTCTGTCAGTCCCCCGGAATCCCGGTGACCGGAGGATGGACAACCTCACAAAGCGCCTGTTGTTCAAGCAGCCGACGCTCATGAATTCGATGCGAACTTTCTTGGAGGATCCGCAGGGATTTGCCGGGACTTGGGTTTGGAGCCTACCTGCAAGAGGCACATGTACCTCTCATTGTATACTGTGATGCGAGCGCAATGTTGCCATACATACCAAACTGTCATGTAATGACTAGTTTCGCGAAATATTCCGTAGTGTCAAGAAGCGCAAAGCGACTTAGCGCAGTTTAGGTAGAGTACAGGACACAGGCGCATGTATGCACGCATGTACGTGCGAGTCGAACTGCTGGACTCTAAGACCAAACCCTAAGACCTGAAAGCGTGCGTGTAAGTCTGACTGCAGTGGAAAGAATGAATGGGCATTGTGGCGGATGAATGGACGAACGAACGTACTGTGCTGTACAGTCTGTAGGCAGTCCACATTCAGCATGCGCTGAATGCTTGGAGGCTTAACGGCGCAATGTATGGTAGTACGGTAATGAAAAAGGATGCGAAAGCCCTTGCTAAGAACTAGTGTGCTGCAGTGCAAGCTGAAATCAGGAGTTCCCTTTGGAGTTCCGCAGTGGCTTCCTGCACACCACTGTGATGACCCTCCCCCTCTTCTCCATCATTCTTGCCACCAACACTGTCGGCTTCGTGTTTGATGCGCTGCGCCTCTTCAACGCCATCTGAGCGTGAAAAAGGATTTTCCTTAGAGAATATGCCCAGGTGGTGACATTTGGACCTGCAGATGTTTGGGACCTCCCTAGAGTCTGATGGGGTTTCGGGCGGAAGGGCGCCATAAGAACTATAGCATTGTTGAAAGTTTAGATCGAGGACTTGGCAGTAAGGCTTTTGAGGAAACCCTGCATCCTTGCTTAGCTGCCACAGCCTGGACATGCGGAATGGCTGCTTCAACGATTCAACGCTGGAGTTCTTGCCGTTTCAGTTGCACATCGAGGGCCCCTAAGCCCCGAGCCCACATTCGGCCGCAACTTGCCATGCCCCTGAGGGGCTGGTATAGAAACCGAGCCTGAACTTGAGAATACACCTCCATGGCCTGAATTTTGCAGAAGTTCCCCTTCAGCCTTATGAGAAATTCCTCAAATCTTGAGCGGGTCTGGGCTGCCGGAATGTGCGTACCATGACCTTGAACCAGCGCGAGGCCCGAAGCATGGTTCTTGGCAAAGGTGGGATCTCTGCTTGGGTCGGGCCTTGCGGTTGCACCTCCGAGCGAGCGAAGGGTCTCAACTGCAACGCTCTCTTGGCTTCGGGAACTTTGACCGAAGCGTAGTTAACCAGAGTAAACCAGCCACCCTGTGGGTGGCGTTCTCTCGGCAGAGGCCGCCTCTGACGCTGCGCGCGGGGAAACCGGCCTCTTCACCTGTGCTCCTCCTGTGCAAAGCCGTACTAAGTGCAAAGCCTTAGACCCTAAGCCTTATTGCCATCACTGCCATCCCCAATACATCCGCAAATGCACAGGCATCGATCATGAACTCCAAGACTGCCCGTGCGGCCAGTGCCTGTGCGATGCCACTCTTCATTGAGTTCATTAAGTTCCATGAAAAACAAGTTCGCTGCCTTATATGAGGGTTCACGCCGTCAAGGAGGACGGCAGAGTTGGGTAGTTGTGCCAGCATACCAAGTGTTGCCGACCGCAAGACAATCATGAAGACAGCCGCACTACACCTTCCCGCTGAAAGACAAAAAGACAAGCCCTGCCAAAAAACAGAAAAGCAAACTCTCCAAACCTCGAAAGGCTTAGATGGGGCCCACATCCATACCCGACCTACAGCCACGGTGCAGCGTCTCTGCTGCAAGGAACGCCAACGTCATGGAGCTCGAGGCAAACTGGGAGGCAGCGCATTGTAGAGTTCAGGGTCTAGGGTTTGTTAAAGGTGCAGGGTGGCCTGTGGCCCATCTAGAGGTTGTGAAGAGTTTGGAGTTGATGGGAGTTTGAGAGTTGTTGATGCATAGATAGCACTGGCCACCAACTACCCTCGTGGCAGCTTAGGGAACATCGGAATACGGTTGCCGGGCTTCACCTCGGTCTCATCCAGTAGTTCGGTGAGTACCCCCCAGAGCCGGTTACTAAGTTCTAGAGGTTGGGGCCCCTATTTACAACTCGTTACCTCAAGACCTCAAGGTTTTGATTTCCCTGGTGCCATAAGCGCCGCAGAAAAAATGGATCGACGCCAAGGTTTCACAGTGTTCGTTACCTCGCAGCACGAGAATGATTTTCAAATGAGTTTTAACGTGGACCAAGCCGCCCAAACTGAAATTAGAAAGGATACACTGGGGTTAGAGCAATGAGGCAAGGTCCAGAAGCACAACCCCAGTATCCCAGTGTGCACGAGCTTCTACCATCATCCACTATAGTTTGAGATGCAGACTCTTGAACACGGGAGGAGGCAAAGACTCGCGAGACCTGGCCACTGGGCTGTTCAGGTTCGTAGTGAGTCTCGGGTACTGAAGGCTGACAATGCTCTTTCAAAGGGGGGTTCCAAGTACATGCCATCGAAGGCGGTTGTTGCAGGGTTTCGGGGGGGTGGGGGGGGGGGGTTTCAGGGAATGTACCGGTAGGTAGATACTCGTATATGCAAGGTACACCTACTTGTGCTTCATAAAGGTTACCAATTGAGCTCGGACGAGCTCGGACCAATGCACGTCATCATGCCTCCCACCCCTTCCCCCAGGCAGAAGTGAAGACAGGCTGATGCAGCCACAACAATATCATAGCGTCAAGTTTTCCTACATCGCTTGACGTGCTTACTTGGACGGTGTCCAGAAGACACTTCCCCGTGCACCTCTTGCCAACAAGCCCTCATGCTTACTTGAAGGTGTGCAGCAATCTATATGTAGCTCCCCCAAGCTCCCATCGGTGGGCAAGCCAAGGATTCTCCTGGAGGGGCTCCTGTGGCGGCACGGTGGCGCCGCGGCGAAGCCGCGAAAAAAGACCGCAGCATAAGGATTAGGGCTTAAAGGTGGACCTGTGTGTGGAGGACTTGGGTGAAAGTTTATTGATCAGCCTTGAACCCCTTAGTCATCCGAAACCCCAAGCCCCTCCAAAACCCTGCGCCCAGACCAGAAACCCCACGCGCTAACATCCTAAACCAAACCGACAGCCCTGAAGAAAGGCCCTAGAACCTGCAAGTTGAAGGACCCTCGACCCTAAGAAGTCCTGCACCACAACTCTCAAGCTGCCCCCTTCATCCGCCAGGCCTTGGGCAGGCGGCTTCTGGAGCTCCAGAAGGAGTGGCGGAGGCCAGGGGAGCTGGGGCTCTTGGGGCAGTTTGGGGCGTTTGGGGCGTTTGGGGCTCTTAGAGGCTTCGCATTGTGCTGAAGAGGTTGACAGAGAAACGGGCTTGCGGGGCTTCTAGGAAAAACGCCCTGCAGGGCTAAACATCGGGGAGAATAGGGCTACGTAGGCCTACGGATCTAATGCTGCTCTGTCCCTGTAAGGGGTAAATTGCTTGAAGCGCAGGAAGGGGGACAATGACCTGTGAGAGTCAGAGCCGCGTAGGGTGCGGAGAATTCCGTTGACTCGTGACTCTTTCCTTGGATTTTGGGTTGATGTGCTTTGCAGGTCTTGCAGGTCGTGCGTGAGAAGGGCTGAGGTTTCAGAAGGTGGAAGCTCTAAACAACATCCTGGACACAAGCACGAACGTTCCACCCATGAGGCTGGAGGAGATGCGGAACCAGATTCCCAGTGAGGATGCAGGGCACCCAGGGTTCAGTAATTAGGGGGTTAGGCTGGCAGGTTTGTAGAGGGCTCAGTTGTAAAGTTTAGAGCTGAGAGCTCGAGCCTGAGATATGACGCAGGGTTTAGGGTTCAGGGCTTGGCGGCTGAAAACCTGCAAAGATATGACAAGAGCACAACGGAGAGCCAAACTCCCCTCGACCCACCTCTAAAACCCCATCTCTGCATTCCACACTCTTCAAAGTTAAGCCTTGCACCAAATGCCCTATAAAGCCTAAACTAATTTATTCTCCAAACCGAGGTCATCCGGAGGACAAATCTTCTCCTGCGTTTGGGGCGTGCGAGTTCACACCCGGATCCGGGCCAGGCAGAACTCTGGATGCGTGGGCCGGGTTTGGGCTTTTGGGGTAAAGTTCCGTCTGTAAGAGGTGGGGAGGCTCATTTAGGGCAGGATGGGTCAGGAATTTAGGGGCTTTAGGCGGTACGGCTGGCATTCAGCCGTAGTTGGGTTGAGGGGCGTTTTGGTTTCCAGCTCAAGGGTTGGTTGAACCCTAAGACCGAAACCCGAAGCCCCCACAGGACCTGTCCTACCGTGTGCATCCCCTGATCAACAGTGATGAACACTAGGCACTGCAAGAAAAGATGTTTCCTCCCCACTGTGTTAAACAAAGCCTTTTTGCCCAGGGAACTCCGGCACTGAGCGTGGGTTCGTTCGCCGCTGAGTTCGCCTCGCGCGTATGATTGGCTGCTTGAGCTTAGTGTTCGAAGCTTTGACCCCGTTAGCTCGTTCTGATGTGCATGGTTCTTTTGGACCCGTTTGTTTGCTGATTGCTACATTACATGCGAAATCCGGAGCACCCAACGCCCTACGCGTTGTGGCAGTCAGTTGTGCATTTCTTGTGAACCTCTGAACGCGAGAACTAGCAATGGAGACTAACTGTTAAGTAAAGCGGGCTTGAAACCAGCTTCGGTTCTGTGCCAGTCTTGCAGGCACCCAACGAAATTCCACAACCAAATTTATAAACCTTTGCCCTCAAAGCGTCACCTATTTTGAGAAATGCCGGTATGGCCCCTAAGTCCCTACGTGCTGCATTAGCATTCAAAGCTCTCAAGCCAAGGCCTTATCCTGGCCATCTATTGGTGGCAGATCTGGCTGTTTTGTGAGTTGGTCCTGTGCTTAAGAGAAAGCGTTGAGGCAGATAGGGGGCTCTGCCTAAGGCTAGGGTTTGGGTTCATGTTCAGGTATGTTCGGTTTCGGGGATGTTGGCCAGGCTTTCAGGTTTAAGTTAAATTCGGGGTCTAGGGCTGGAGGTTTATATTCGGAGTGCAAGGTTCAATTTTAGGATCTAAGTTTTTGCTCAGTTTTTTGCTCAGGATTAGATTCGGGGCTAAGGCGTGATTGCTTGAGCAGAGGCGCGGTTCCTACAAGGGGGAGAATTTTATCTTATGCGGGCTGCATTAGGATCGTGGGCTGAAAGTTCTGGATGTGCAGGGCCGGGGATCGCTTTGAACAAACTTATACCTAAAGCCTTGAACCCTTCAACTTTAACCCTCGAAAAGCACCTCAAATCCTGTTTTTCAGTCCAAACGAACTCTGGATTGGATCTCAAAAAAGTCAAACCCCCCCCCCCCCCCCCCCCAAGAAAACAAACTTACCCAAAACGCTGTGGCCAGCCTGGATCTGCCCCCGGCACGCTCACGCCGCTGGAGCGCCGGGGGCCCCTTGTGGTTAGGAGCAAGCAGCACCAAAAAGGCACAAGCTTGGACGGGGTTGATTATTAGGGGGACATCGATTCCATTTTTGCTTGGACCAGAAACCGACAACGATGTCCAGCACAACTGGGTGTCTACCTGCCGAGCTTGGGGTTTCTCTGCTTCAACGTGTTAGACGCCATGGCCAAGCTCGCAGAGCCTGTGCTGAGGCTCCTGCAGCTATCCTGGCCCCGCACCAGTCCCAGCAATGCCTGCAAGAGCACTGAAGCAGGCCCTGTTCAGGGTTCACGGGGCGGGGTTGTGGGTTCGCTCTGGGGGCGCCTCGAGTTGCCCCCGATTCGAAGGTAGGTTTTTTCGTCTATCCGGGACCGGCCGTGAGATCTGCATTCCGTAAGTCGTATATAAGTCCGGAGATGTTTCTGGGCCAGGGAACTGCAAAAACTACAGACATGTACAAGTCCGGAACGCCGCGAGGTGTCTGACTGCTGACTTCGAGCTGTTCAGAAACCAGAATTTATTCAGTTTTTTTGTGCGCGCGCGCGCGCGCGCCCGTGTGTGTGTGTGTGTGTGTGTGTGTGTGTGTGTGTGTGTGTGTGTGTGTGTGTGTGTGTGTGTGTGTGTGTGTGTGTGTGTGTGTGTGTGTGTGTGTGTGTGTGTGTGTGGGTTGGATGTTTGGGGCGTGGGGCGTTGGGGTCCATTTTCGGAGTTCAGAAAGGACACCTTTCTTGGGCTTTTCTGGCTTCAGACGTGCATGTCGCCTCTTCGGTTCGATGTCTCGTGAAAGTCGGCCTTACTGGCTTAGCTCTTTGGTGGCCCGAAACCCTTAAACCTTAAACACGAAAACCCTTCCGCCTCTTCATGAACTTCGATGTTGAGAGTGTTCGGGTGCTGCATCCGCGCCATCCTCAGCCCCTACCCTCCGACCCCACGCCCTGAGCCCCGCGCCCCCAAGCAAATACAGCATGACCTTCGATCCGCGACGGAGGTGCAGCTCAGCCTGCTCAGGGCCCAGCTTTTTGGGGATTTTGTGGGCTTTTTGCGGGTTTAGGATTAGGGTTCTTGTCGCTTTTTCTTTTTGGGCGGTGGGGGGGGGGAGGTGGGGGAGTGCGGTGAGTGCTGTTGAGGGTGCGAGGATTTACGGATTTGAAGGTTTGAATCTAAGTTTTTGTTGGGCCTCTGTGTGCTTGGGCTGAAGGTTGTGTAAGGATCTCAGTCATTTTTGACGCTTAGGATTACTGGCGGGCTTCTCTTGAGGTCAGCCTAGACTAACCCGAGGCGCTCAGCCACCTCCAAGCCCAAGTGCGGTGATTGTTAACCTGCCGCAGAGCTTGTGGTGCTCACGTTCTGGCAAGCCTCCGTTTTCAAGACGCGAGCTCTTGATGGATCTCTCCTGCCACGGCCCTGATATCCTGGAGCCTGAAGCATCAAACCCTAGAAGATCCCAAAAGCCTAGACCCTGCTGTTCCTTGCGATGTTCGACCTGTCGATTTGTTTCGGTTCGAGACATTTGTCTGAAGCTCGCCGCAGCATTTTGCATGGGACTGCGGCTCGATCGAAGCTAGGGTCTTTGGATGTCTTTGGTTCATAGGCTCTGCGTGTGGTTGCAGGGTTGAGGGCTTCCAGGGGTCCAGGGGTTAATGGAGCTCCTCGCGGTTTGGAAGCTTTGCAGGTACAGGGTCTAATGTTTTCGAGTTTGAGGTCTTTGGGGGTTTCGGGTTCCGATGACCTGACAGGACGGGGTTTTTCTGCAGGTTTCATTGCAAGTCTGGGCACGACAGTTGACGACTTCGAGCAGCAGCGAAAGAAGAACCACGGCACAAAACATCATGAAGATTACAGGCCCCACGTGCAGAAGCCGGACCCCCCGTCTCATCCCCAGCAAGGTGTCTCGCGCCGTCGACGAGCCCTTCCTCGGACATGGCGGAGGTGCTCTGGGTTTGGGAAAAACCAACCCCTAAACTCCCTAAACCGAGCTAACTGCCAAGAAAGACCTCCACTTGCCTAAGCTCTGAGCTCGACGCAGGAGAAGCCTTCATTGCCGGCGGACTACGTGGTGCCCAAGGTGCCCACTTGGCCCAGAGTATAGGGGTCTCTGAGTACAAGCTCCAGGGCGGCTTTGGTTTTAAGAATGTTAAGATGTTGGGGGGTTTTGAGTCATGAAAGGGGAGCAGATGTGAGGGGTATTTTGGCAAATTGCAATGAGGCCCCTGTTCCCTGCAAAGCGCGCCTCTTGCAACTTCCAGGTGTGGGAGTACAAAGATCAGGGCGGCACCTTTGGCGGTACCAACCGCCCCTACGCTGGAGCCTGGGGTGAGGAGCTTGGGGGGGGGGGGGGAAAGAGGGGCGGGGTGAGGTTCGAGGATAGTCGGTTGTGGGGATGTTGTTGGGCTCGTTGGAGCCCTCAGACCAGCCCCGCGGACCCTGAGTCCTGAAGCCCAGGCATCTGAAAACCTCAAACCGCAAGGACAAGCCCCTCCCCAAGGGAGAGCACAAGATCCAGCTCTACTCCATGGGCACGCCGAGCCTGGGGCGTGAGGTTGCCTTTTCAGCTTGGAACCATTTCGAACCCAAAACCCCCACGCCTTGACGACCACCCTCCCCTCCTCCTCAAAAGAGAAAAAGAGGCCTCACGAGCCAAGGAACGGAGTCAAAGTGACCATTTTGCTCGAGGAGCTGGTCGAGACTTTCCCGGACTTCGAGTACGATGCCTCGCGGCCTGAAAACCCAAGGTCAGACGACCGAATGGGACCTCTAAGCTTTAGGCCCTAAGCGCTGAACCCCAAACCCTGAAGCGGAAAGTGCTTAAACCCCATCTTCACACCCTAAACCCAAGCCCTAAAACTCCCCTGGACTCTGAATCTTGAGAGGCCTCTGCTCCAACCCGAAGTGAGGCGTGGCTGATCCCCATCAACGGCGTGCAGTTCACATCCGGCTTCCAAGCCATCAATCCGAACTCCAAGCAACTCGGACCCATGGAAACATGGCCCGGCCTAGCTCCAAACCCGACCAGTCTAGGTACCGACAGTTAGCACTGACGAGTTCTGGCCTTTAGAAATCTGCATGATGCTGGCACCCATACGGCGGCTTGTCCATCGCGACATCTAAAAACATGAATTGGCCACTCTAGTGGAAGTACAGAGTTGAACAGGATCCCTGCGATGGTGGACCACTCCACGGACAAGCCTGTGCGTGTCTTTGAGTCCGGTTCCATCCTGATGCGCCTGGGAAGCAGAATCCTTAGCCGCCTTAGCCCTTGTTAAAACGCGTACGTCTCTGACCCTGAAGCTCCTGAGCCCCAAAGCCTCCAGACCTTCTCAAGCCCAGCAGCTTCTAGGTACCTCTGCGACAAGTACGACAAGGATGGCCTCTTCTTGCCGAAGGCACGCTCGTGCCGGACACCACTGCTTTTGCCCGTCTAAACTTTTGAATCCCACTCGAACAACTGATGTCCTACATCCCTATGCCATACATCCCCACATGAGCGAAAGCCATATGGCTTCTTCGAGCAGCAAGACCTCTCAAGCGCAAACCGAGGCCAGTGTCAGGCGAGGGGTTGAGGGCGTCGAGAGGCTTCAGGGGGTCCCTGAAACCTTTGACTGTAAACTCCGTATCCACAGAATTGCGCGATTGAATCCCTCAGCCCAAACATTCCCAACTCCGGGACGCCCCAAACTTTCCAAAAAGCCTGGGTGTAGCGCAGCATAATACAAATGGACCCAACATTGTCAGAACGATGAAAACCCCCTCGGAAGCCCAAAGTCTCTGAGCCAAATGTATCCCCAAACGGGACACCCCAAAACATCCAAACCCAAGCCCCTCCAGACCATTGTAAACTTGCAAGCCGTGCCACGACGACACCCTGCTTCAAGCCCTTGCAGTCCTTTCTGTCATTCACGAACCCTTACATGGGCAGTTCTACATGCTGGTCCCCTTTGGGTATTCGGGAACCTGAATGAACCTTAGGAAACTTTAGGGAACCTTAGCAAGCCTTTTTCCTTGCATTGCGAGGAGTATCCCGCCCGGGCCGAAGTTCAAAACTGGCTCATGTGGCACCTTGCGCACACTCAGCGTGGGATGAATGTGACGTGAGAGAGGCACCCTTATGTTTAGACAACACATAAGCCCTACTCATGCCTTGTAGGCCCTACACTGTACAAATTAATTCTGCCCCAGCACAGACCACACAAGACCGGTGACTGCTTGTCATTTTCGGGCCTTTAAAAACTCAGCAAACCCAAACCCCAAACCCCAATAGCCGAGGCAGATGGGTTCGGCGCCTTTCATCGGCGGAGGACGGCGCTAACATGCTGTCACTTGGGGATGTTCTGTAGCCTGCGCTTGTTCAGTTTTGACGCTTGATTTGTGATTCAATGGGTTTGCCGGACCCTTCAGTGCGTCCAGAAGAGTTTTGGTGCTGCTTTTAAAATCCCTGCCTCATCCGCAACCCTCAGAGCCTTGAACCCCCTTTGGGAGACTTTTGGTGTGGCTGCGTGTAAACTAGTGCATGCAGTGGGGATTATGGGGCTTGGCCGGGGGCTTTGGGGTTTTGGAGTTTACGAGTCGAGGGCAGTCGAGTGGGTGACTTTATGAAGCGCGGGTGGAGAAGTTCTCACTCAAGACTATCCTAAACCCTAAACCTTGGTTTTTCGAGGGCTGCTCTTGTCGGAGGCTTTGGGCACTTCTACAACTACGCACCCGTGAAGCGCTCCGGCTGCTGTTTGGAGTAGGGAGTGTACTCAGCGTGGGTGGTTGCAGGTCCGGCCGAGGCTAAAGAGTTTCAGACTGGGTTTCCGGTTCGTCGCGTTGCTTTAAACTTCGGCTTTCTGTTCGGTTGTTCTTTCCCGATGATTTCCGATGTTGCGTAGGACGGCAAGGAGCCACGCTTGAACCACCCGAAACCCTAAACTCTGCTCGTTTGTGTGGGGCGAGTTGAGGATTCAGTATGCCATTGATCGGTACAGCATGGAGACAAAGCGACTTCTCGACGTCTTGGACAAGCACCTGGCTGATGGCAACAAGAAGCTCCTCGTCTGCAAGCTTGTCGGAAAAACCCTCAGAGTCAAAACCACAAATATGGGGCCTACCTCCCCCTGGCTCCCTTAAAGGATCGCTAAGGGTTTGGGGAATGAGGGGTTCAGAAGTTCAGAGAGGTCTAGAACTTCGGGTTTTCGATGGTTTACTGATGCGGATCTCTCTCTTGGGCGCTTGTCACACGCCTTCAAGAACGCCCCCCCCCCCCCCCCCCCCCCGCCCCCTTAATCGCTACTTCCTCAACTTGTTGACGCACCTGTAGAGCTGAGCGCTGGAGTTCCAACTCAACCCAAGAGCCTAAGCACCGAACCCGACGAGGTACATCTGTGGAGACCAGCGCCTCGACAGAGTCCGATTCACAGAACCCCAATTGTGGGTTTGTTTATTCGGGCGAGAAAGGGCGCTCGACATCCATCCCTCGCATGCTGTCTGAAACACCCGAAACGGTGGACAGGCAGCAGGGTAAGAGTATTCCTGGCCCTAAACTCCACCAAATTTGGGGTCCGGCCATCACGTGCGGGTCCACCAGACAGGGTTGTGGGTTTGCTTCGAAAGGTGAGTTGCCCAAACATGGAGGGACAATGAGGGCTTGCGGCCCAAAACTGTGGCGAGTGGCAAGGGGTCGATCATTTGGGGGCTGCGCAGTACTGTACGGCCCTTGGGCAAGCAGTGGGTTACGGGTGAGATTTTGCAGGGTATAGTGACTTATAGTGCCTTGTTTTGGGGAAGATGCGGCTTATCTCGAGTAAGTAGCTCGGCCTTAACCTCAGCTTGCTGCTTTGGACTAGTTGAGCTAAGGTACACAATTGCTGACATGGCGATTTGGCCTTGGTTTTTCGGCTGCCTACAAGAACGGATCTCCTTCGTATCCTCAACCCAAAATAAAGCCGAAAACCCAGGCCCTCAACGTGAAAGTTCCTACGCCCTAAGCCCTTAATCCTACCCCCTAGGCCGAGAGTCAAAGACCGATTTAGGACTTTTAGGCTTCACAGAGCTGTTGCGCTGGAGATTTAGAGTCAAGGGTTTTGGGTAAATTTAATGCAAGGTCAATTATCCGGCTTCCCAGGCATGTGTGTATGTAATGTATTTGTATGCACATATGCATGCGCATGCTCTTTCACATTGCTTGGCTGCCACTGATCGCTCAGTCTTGCCTCTTCAGTACTCGGGAAGATCATACGGACGCTGGCCTTCTACCGAAGTCTTAAGCCTTCAAGCCAAAAACCCATATTCAGTAGCCGCTCAGCAGTTGGCACTTGCTTTCTGCTTCAACAATTGCAGACCTGAGTCTTCCAGAAGCTTTGGGGCGGCAGGGGGGGCGGGGTCGGGCTTAGGGCTTACAAGTTTGGGATTGCAAGGTCCGGGGTAGGGCTTCTCCCACTGAGGTAAGGTGTAAATACATGATTGTAAGCCCTTATGTGTACCCTGAGCCCACACAGGCGGCTTGGACGCGTGCATTTTGTTCTTGCAAGGTGTGCTCTCTGTGTACAACAGGCGACCGTTCGCCAGACAAGATCGAGCGTGGTGAGGGCCTAGGAGTACAAGCCCAGACAACCTCAAGCCTGGAAACGCTAAGGCGTAGTTTCAGCGACCCGTTCTAGATTCCACAAACCTGTTCCTACGTGTGCGCAAGCCCAAATGCCACGCAAACAACGGAAAGCGGTCGCCTGTCATGTGGTCAAGTTTGCGTCTCACATAGCCTCTCTGAGTTACAGTTCCAAGGGTTGGCTGGCTGATGCTGGGCAAGATCTACGGAGCGGCAAATGAGTTCCTGCAAGTGCAGGAGAAGCGGTTTAGGGTTTCAGGTGTTTGAAGTTGAGGGTTTTGGGCAACTAGCAAGCCCTATACATGCCTGTCCCTTCTGAAATCCCAAACCGCGAACTCAGATAGGCTCAAGCCCGTGCATGGATGGTGCAGGAGTACAAGGTCCTCATGGAATGGGCCAAGCGCGTTGCGGAGCGGCCCGCTGTGACACCCGGCTGCAGATGTGCGGGGGGGGGGGGGACACTTTTCTGGCGCCGTGCTTTTTTAGGATGTCATTTATGAGTCGAGTTGGTGAAGTTACAGAAGGCCACAAGGCCTGGTACTTCGTTGATCATTGCAGAGTTTTCGGGTCGAGGGCTTCTGGGCCAAAGTCACCCTTCAGAAGGTTGGCGGGCTTGCATTTTTTTGGAGTTTCGCCGTTCTGTTCTTTCGTTTGGTGGGTTCGGGGGAATTTGCGGGCTTAGGGTTAATTTTTTTGGGCTGGCCAAGCTGGTTGGAGCTCAGGAAGCGCGGCAACATGGTGAATCGCCCCTTCGGAGTGGCTCGGAGGGCTTAAAGAGACATATAAGGAATGGGGGCGGTTTTCAGGGCTGTTTTGTATTCTATTTTTTAATTGGGGGGGGGGTTCATGTGCAAACAGAAGGTTGTAGCAGATCCGAAGCAGTTCAACACGCTTGGCTTGCAACTGAAGAGACATTTGTCAAACTTGGAGAGCTGACTCGTTTTTCTCATGGTGTGGGGGGTTCCTGCCTGGCCTCTGCTCACTTGACACCCCTCCTGAACACTAAGCATTGCACCAAGCCAAAAACCCCAAAACCCCAAAAAACCCCTAAACCCTAAACCCCCAACATAGAAAGAACAAAAGGAAAAGTCGGAGCAGCTGCATGAGCGGCACGCGCGCAGTGACTTTGAGACCAAGACCCAGGATGCTGGGGGAGTTGAGAGCAGACGAGGGCTTTAGGCTTTAGCGGCCAGGGGCCCGGGGTTTTTGGGACCAGGGCTTGGGGCCCAGCAAGGGCTTTGAGGATTGAAGGTTTCGGGGCTTCGAGCTTACGGGTACTGGAATTTCATCACAAAGTCCAGGATCTCTTAAGGAGGGTGACCTCAGAACTTCTAAACCGCAGGCCCACTAGGTTGAACATGGTTGCACCCTTTCCATCCCAAAGCATTCCTAAGCATTGGCTCCAAACATGCTAGGAATTTTGTTGTTGCCAGGCAGAGATTGAGAGGTCTAGGGTTCCATGTTGCACGATGAGGATATAGCATGTAAGCAGGTTATTGCGGATTCGTTTGTAGGGGTTGCATCTGCAGGTCGGGACGTGAGTCTTAAGGTTTCTGAGTTGGCGTTCCTGAGCGTCCCTGAAGGACAAGCTGGAAGCTGCTTCGAAGTGAGCTGGGCAACAGTCATTTCGCCTGCGGCGTGTTGGCGTTGGCGTTCGGGGTTCAGAGGAATTGGGTTTCATTGGTGCTCAGACTGTCAGAAAGGTGGTAGATGTGCACGTGCCATGCCCCACGGAGGCTGCTCGCAGGCTGTCCCTTCGCCCATCCTCCCTTGCTTTTCGCGAGTTTCTGTTTTATTCTGCGCAGGACACAGGCCAAACATGCCAGGTCCAAGGTCAATCCAGGGGGGGCAAAAAAGCCTCAATCCTAGTGACCGATCAAGGTCTGGTGCGCGAAGGGTCTGCGAGAGAAAAGCCTCATGAGTGCGGCTGCAGACAGAGCTGTGGCTGGGGTTCGGGAGCGCCCGGGGTCAGCAACCGCGGGTTCCAGCTGGCATGCCATTCCCACCAGGCCGCTGCCGATGAAGTGAGCATCCCGAGATTCAGGCAAGCTAGAGACCAAAGTGTCTCTGAACGGGTGGTGGGATGCCCCATAGCTGCTGCCATAGCCGTAGCAGTAGCTCTGTACATGATCTTCTGATCGGTTGCGGCCTCTCTGGGAAACATTCCTGGGGGAGCCGCTTTGTCACCGAAGCTTAGCCACGCTTAATGAACCCTGCTATCTGCTGCCTGGCAAAGCATGTTCCAGGGCAGAGCAGCACTTCTGCTAAGGGCAAAGATGCTGCAGGTCGTAGAGAGCACTCGGCTTTGCAACTCGTGGCAGTCGGGTGCTTGTTGCGGTCTTATGACCCCCTCAACCCCAAAGAAGAATACTTTAAAGGGGGATCAGTGCGGCGGTTGCTTCCATCGCTCATTCTGCTGCCTCTTAGCCTCGCATGCCAAAGGCCATGAGCACTTGAGCCGAGAGCCCAGAGCCTCGCACTATAGGCAGTCAGTGCGCTGCAGTGACTTCTTGAAGGTATCATGGTTCAGCTGCTATTGGCTACTAAACAGCTTCAATGCTCTAGTCGCGTCTACACTGCTACAGCATCTACCGCTCGCTACTGCTTGTATACTGCAAAAAGTAGGGCTTTCGGGTGGATACAGAATCTATACTTGTGGGACAAAACCTCAGCTGCAGCACGTCGGTGCCTCCACTGCGGGCCCACTTCTTCTAAAGGCGCTCGGGTGATCCTGAATGGGCCGAACAAACATGAACAAACATAAAGTCCCACTGCAGAGCCTTCAGCTCTAACCCTAGCTGGGGACTTGGTGTGGTCCCTGTTGGGGGTCTTCTTTTTGTGAAAGGGGTTCCATTGCAAGTGCCTATGCAGAGACCTTAGCTAGGGCCTTGACTTCCGTTCTGGGGTGTTTCCACCACTCCACACCTCACGCAGTTGTCAAATTCGATTCGGTAGATTGTTTGCGCGATTTTCGCCAGGGAGGCGCACTTGAGAGGATGAAGGGGAACGAAGTTCATGGTCGTCAGACAGAGGGTTTGCATTTCATGACAAGCCATGACTCACCCCTGAAGACACCTCCAGTCTGCAGTTTGAAACATGAGTCCTAACAGTAAATCACGATGTGAGTTAAATCTGTTTATGCTGCATTGAACGGAGGTAGCAGGAGGGGGACACGAGACATATGCACCTGCTTTTGCAGGTCAAGGGCAATGGCTGGTCTCTCGGCAAAACTGTTCTAACTGCAGGGTCCAGGATTCGAATTTGCCCAAGCCAGGACATCAGCCATGTGAACACCATGCTCGACCTCCCCCCATCACCCAAAGCTCCGAAACCTTTAAACTCAAGACCTTTCAGTCCGACATATCATTATGTCCAAGCCCATTCCCACCAGCCCGACGGCGCGCCCGAAAGGCCTCTTCAACAGGCAATTTGTTTTTGGAATTCAGCTCTCCCCCCTGTTTTTTGCGAGGAAAGTCGCTGGCGGAGCGGCGTGCTGGAGCCTTCCAGACCCTGCAAGTGGCGAAGGACCGATGCTCAGTCGGTGTGGGTTCAGGGCCTCCAAGCTTTTTGGGGGCTTTAGTAAACTTAGGGCTTGTGGGTGAGCTGGGTAGCAAGGTGGAGGTACTTCGTCATTCGCTCTAACTTATGAAAGCGGGATACCCATAGTTGTGGGAAAGGTTGAAAGTTGAAAGGTTGTTGGGGCCATGAGGGTACGTCCGAAAGCCCAAACCCTGACTCCCAAAAAGCCCTATAAGGCTCTTGAATCCCTCAAAGCCCTTTTCGGTCGAAACCGAAACATGGACCCCGAACCCGGCAGCGAAGCGAAGAATCGACGGCCTCGTGTAAGCGTGCTTCCGTGCCAAGGCGGAGCCGGTGGATGTGGCCGGCACTCGGAAAATCAGGCCCGGTGCAGGTTCCCTAAACTCTGCAGGAAGTGCCTCAGAACAGCCTCAACACTCATCCCTAGCGAATATAGTTTGGGTGTCTTGGGTGGACCAGGCTCGCTTCCTTGTTCTTGGTGAGCGCTAAAGGCTAAAGCCGTAAACACGTAGACACCAGCCCCAAACCTTACACTCAAGCCCTATTCCCACCCAAAACCCTCGACGCCCTACAAGAAATCCCAGACCGTTGCGGACCCCAGATTGTGTTGCCTTCAGGATCTTAGAGCCTGGCAAGAAGATTCAGGAGCAGCACAGTGAGCCCTTCTGTAGGGGTAGTGGTTCAGAGGACATGGGGTTTATGGGTTACAGGGCTTATTGACCTGGAGATCTCTCTGTCTCTCTCCCTCTCTCTCTCTCTGTCTTGCTTGCATAGCTGGCGTTAGGTCAGAATGGCGCCTCCAAAAGACAAGAGCTCACCACTTGCTTGTTATTCAATAGCAAGCCTTAACTTTCTTGCTTTGATTCAGGCTCGGGGCTCCTAGATTAGGATCCTTTAGGATCCTAGCCCCGCCCGGCAGGATGAGTACAACTTTCTCCAATGTGTTCACGAAGCCGGAGCAGGCAATTCCTTGCAAGTTGGGGCTTCGGACTTCTGGCATTTGTTATTTGACGCGCCCGAACGCGATTCTGACCGTGACCAGCACGTTTAGGGTTCTTCAAGCCAGAGAGCCGCTCTTCTCGTGAGGACTCGCAACTCTTAGATCCCCCAACCCCAAACCCTTGCATTGCAAGGCCAGACACAGGTTTGGAAGGCAAGTTGCAAAACCACCGGCGAGGACCTGCCGACTGCCTCAGTGTGAGATTTCAGGGCTGCGGAGCTGAGATGTTAAGCTTGCCCTAAACTATCGGGACTTCAATGGAGACCCAGAAAAGGGACTCATGCAGAGGGTTTATTGCAGATTTGGGTGCAGCAGCTGCAAGGCAGGTTTGGTGAAAACCACACTGGAATTCCTTTGCTTGCAAATGCGCGGCTCGGGGCACCCTGTGTCATATAGTGAGTATACTCATGCACTTTGGATTTTGAGAGGGTGTCGGAAGCACTGCCACATGCGTTAAGAGCCGCTGCTAAGGATTGTGAAGCTGCGCGCGAGGCGGGCATATGATTTCTTATGTTGGCTCTTTTTGTGGCTTCGGGTCTTCTTCGATGTCAGCAGTACGCCAGAGCTACGAATCGAGTCTGGCTCCGCGCAGACCTGTGCTCAGCACCTCCTTACCAGGCCTGGGTCCCACCCGAAGCTTCCCCACAGACTTCGCTGAAATCACTCGAAATCCATCTCGAAATCCCAAACCTTCCACCTGTCCTACTTTGGATCGAGTCCACAAAATTTTCCTAAGCCCTCGAAGTGAGACCCTCAGAGCCCAAGGCCCCCTCAGAATTCCACAGCTTGCAGGCGGTTTGCCCCAGGTGGGGAAGGAGCAAGAGCCCGAGATGGATGGTCGAAGCTAGTTAGGGTTTTGGGCTGGCATTTTGACTGCCTCATACTGCCTTGGAATTGCAATTTAGGGTTTGGGTTCCTTGATGGGTGCAACTCCGACACTCTGCCCCGTTCCCAGCTCGAAAACCTGAACCTCAAGCGGCGTCTCATGCTGTCGCCGACGAGGTCTGGCAGTCACTGCTCACGCGGATGCCCCTCGTAGGCATTCGTCTTCTCTCGTTTGAATTCAAGTACGGGGTTTTGCGTTTCATGTTCGGTGGGTGCCCTTGCAACGAGGGACAGGCCGGCGGGCCTCCTCACAGTCAGGCAAGCTTGGCGTGCTCTCTTCTTGTATGTACCAGGCATGGGCAACTTAAGAAGTGCGCGCACATTAAGTGAGATTAGCATCTGTGATTCTAAACACCTTGATTGTCATTACTGTGTGCATCCGCACATATCTTGTTTTTGTATCCACAGTATCTGAATACCTGAGCGCCTGAAACCCAGGAATTTCAAACCAGGAATCAGCTGGGGCTGGGCAATGTTGGGCATGAAATCAACTTAGAATCAAATCGGAGCAGCAGTGATTCAAGAAAGAAGCACGCTAGAAAGCGCTGCTGCGTTTGTGAAACCAGAAACCATGCAGCCCCAAAACAGCATGGAATCTCGTCCTTCAACAATAATTGCTTACACTTGAATCACGCATTGAAATCCTGCACAAAGCGATCCGTGGCCCCCAGGTTGAACCTCGAGGGTCACCAGAACGTCCTTGGCTTGCGCGATGCCGGTGGCCCGTGATTTGGGTTTAGGATGCAGGGTTAGGAGTCAGGGTTTAACGTGGGCTGTCTGTTCTAAGTCATTTTGGAAGAGTCCTTTTCTCGAGTCACTGCAGGGACTATGTTAGGGAATAGAGGCAGCAGAGAAAGAGACGACCAACCAGATTAAGACTCAGAGTTGAGGGCTTTTTCGTGTGTGGAGAGGCATTGCCTGCAATGTGAGATGCGCAGTGGGAGGTATAGAGGCCATAAATCACAAGCACACCCAAGCCAAAGCCCCACACGCCTACCCAAGCCCCAAAATCCTAAAACCTTGACTCCCTTCACGCGACCCAAGACCAGTGAACCCTAAACACCTCAACCCCAGACACCAGACACCGAAGCCCGACCCAGGTCATACAGGATGAGAGCAGTTACTACATCGTGATGGTTCCCTCGGGCTCCGGGTTTAAGGCTTCTTGGGCTTGGGAGTCCCTGTTTCTCTCGGGTGCCGCGCTACCCTCGAATTCTTTAGGCTTAGTGTTCCCTTCACGCCCCGTTCACCAAGAAGGAGGTTCGTGGCTGAGCAACGTTCTAGAAGCCTGGATTCATGGCAGTCAGGGATTCAGAGTTTCAAGCGACGTGGTATTGCAATCACCAGGAATCAAAACCTTTTTCTGAAGGCCTGCTCTAAAACCCTAAACTTGACCTTAAACCAAAAGGTGACATGGCAGAGAGATACGCCTTTCTTGACATGCTCACAGCATGCAGGGCATTTAGCTAGAATGTAACATTTGAGCATGAGTATTCTCTCGCAGACGCAACTTGTTCTGAAGAGCATCATTTGAGTCCGGACTTGTTTATAGTCTGTGTCCGTTTGCTTCCACATCGCGAAGAAGTGTATACTGAAACCTTAAGCAGTTGAAGCGAAGGCTGAGGTTCTGAACAGTCAAAACAATGTTGGCCCGTGGGCTCGTGAGCCCGTGGCGGGGACCTGAGCCCAAGGGCCCGTGTCACTGGGTTGGACCTATCTCCTTAAGCCGTCCAAGCAAGCTGCTTCGTTTTGCCGAAAGTTTCATGGATTGAGTGGAGCGAGGCATGGGCGAAATACGCTTGGAGTCGTCTCAAGGACATGTGCACTGAGGATGAGCTGCGTGATGACTTCATGATCGCAAACGCTTGGGATGTGAAGCCGGCCTATACGACCTCTCAGGAACACCGATAGCAAGCAGGGTGTGGGCACTGATCTGCCAGAGAGAAAGTATAACTTGCAGGCAGATACAGATAGATCTAAGGCCGCTGCAAAATCCAATCTTGAGGCCTTTGCAAAATCCAGTCCTAAGCAGGCGTTGCTGTTTTTTGCCGAGCGTCGAAGCAACACGACTTTGGTCGTGTGCCACAAAGGGTTCTTGAGCATCACGAGGCCCCCATGCATGTGCATGACTTCGATGTTGCATCTTTAACAGATGCTACGGAATACAGCGACGTCGCTGTCGAAGTGGGTGTCCTGGGACACCGAGATGCCCAGAATTTTCCAAAACCGCCTTCAAATCATGTGTAGTGTGGAGTTTTCAACTGGGCAGCTGGCCAGCGAGCAGGACGGCCATGTGACGTGCTTGCACCAGCCTGGAGCACAGCATGCGTGCAGGGCCACCATGAATGACTTTCAGAGAGGTACGCTGCAGTGGTGGCGAGCTCTTCGACTTCCTGCAGACCGAGACTGTGTGAGCCCTGGAGCTTTGAACTTGGTTGCAAGGTCTGGGCCGTAGGGAGTTTTCTTCCGCGAGGATGACTTTTGTTTGCGAGCCTCGAGTGTTCGCTGTCGCGTGTGGACCGATGGATTTGGAGACTTTCACCAAGTCTTCGCCAACAAACGAGGGGTTTGGGGCTATAAGGCCTCTAAGTCTTGAAAACTTCAAAGAGGCTTTCCATCCCAACCGCTAGACCTTCCAATCCTGCAGGGTTTAGGGAGTTTTTTTCAGGTTGGTTTGGGCGTAACTCTTGCCCTTCAAAGCCCTAAGGCCCCAAATCCACGGCATTCCCCCAGACTGCCCCAGCTTCAGGATGTACCGGAGCGCGAGTGCAAGCGAATCATGCGCGAGATCCTCGAAGCCGTTGATCACATCCACGCCCGGTGCCTCCCTGGTGGTGGTTTGGGTTTGTGGAAGCTTGGGTTGGGGGACATTTTCGGCGGCCTCCTCAAGCACGTGCCCTACACCCGAATGCTGCCAAATATCCACAGTCTTTTCAGCAGTCCGGATCCCAAAGCGTTGGTGCTCTCGAGCTGACGGGTCTCTGTTAGACCAAGTCTGGGGGTTTACAAAGTTTTGCTGTGCTCGGGTCTTTGGGTCTTAGAGGCCTCGCCCATTCCGCAGAGAGGGCCCGATGCCTGCAACCCTAGAGAAGCCCTAGAAGCCCTAAACCCGAATGAGACTGGTGCACCAGGGGCCTCATCCACAGAGACATCAAGCGTCTCGGCTTTGCAGTGGGCAGACCCCGAAATGATGAACCCCAAGCTGCAACCTGAACAAAACCCTGAACCTGACATATACACCACATGTTTATCGTTAGTTGCTTGCGGGCGCTTCCCACATTGCATCCGAAAGGATTTACCGCCTGCTTTGTTATCCGACCATTTTCTCCGCAGAATGGGCTTTGTTTCCAGTTTCAGTGAGTTCATTCATCTTCGGGAACCAGCTGCATCCTGCCGCCTCATCAAGTTGCGTCCATGGTGGTGCTAGTACTGGGCGGCACAGGCAAGACGGGCCTCCATGTAGTGCAGCAACTTCTTGCGAGAGATTTCCAGGTGCGGGCCATTGTCCGTTCACCTGACAAGTTGCCAACTGATGTGGTCAAGCACGCTGGCCTCACCATCATAACTGCCAAGATCTTGGATCTAATCGATGAGGCGCTGGTGGAACATATGGCCGGCTGCACAGCTGTGATCAGCTGTTTGGGACATGAGGGGAACTTCCAGGGCATTTGCGGCAAGGCCTCCCAATTCTTGGTGTCTGATGTCCTTCGCAGAGTGTGCCGTGCCACCAGGGACGTCAAGCAGCCTGTGAAGGTGATCCTTATGAGCACAGGCCTGTATACCAAACCGGACAATGCGGAGGATGTGAGGGTCCGAAGCACCTGCGGACAGCGAGCACTTTTGGGCCTGCTGTCTACGTGTTTGCCTCCTCACAATGACAACATGAGAGCTGCTGAGTTTCTTCGAACAGAGCTGGAGGGAATTCAGGGCATTGAGTGGTGTGGAGTGCGCCCAGAACTTCTGGTAGATGGAGAAGTGACGAAGTACGAGCTTCATGAAAGCCTCGTTTGCAGCATTTTCTCAGCAGGTCAAACATCGAGAGCAAATGTCGCGCATTTCATGTGCGAGTTGGTGCAGAACCCTGCCACTTGGCAGAAGTGGAAGGCAAAGTTTCCTTTGATTTACAATGCTACGCCTTAGTGCCTTAGCATAGTGTTCCTCTTGGCCATAGTGCCTGATTCGCGACAATGCAACGCACAGCCTCTGCAGAGCCGCGGAAAAAGCTCTTGCTTCGACTTGACAGGCTCTTCACTTCCGTCACTTCATGACGAGCAAAAGAATTGAAGTGGACATTTGAGTTTTGCCGTTGCCGCCCTTTTGGGGACTACGATGGTTTTTTAGAGTGTGATTAGTACTGTTGCTTACAAGTATTGTTCCAGACAGCCTGCACATTCCTGCACATCAAATGACTCTCAAACACAGCATGACCTGTGCATCCGCAAACAGCACTGCAGCTATCATCTTGAATCAATACTTGACGACGATAGGTTGTTCATTACAAGCACGCACCCCTGAATCCCCACAACCGAAAGCCTGCCCTCCCACCCTCAAATCACTCCGGAGCCGCCACACTTCCCCGCCCCAGAGGCCGGAGAACATCATGTTTCACGACGCTTGGTTGAAGTTATGTGAGGCATTGTCTCCTTTTTTTCGTCCAAGAGGTCCCAGAGAGCACAGCCTGAAGGTTTGACACCCCCCCCCCCCTTGCTCAGTGCCTTTCTCCGATGCTTGCCCTTGCACAACCCTAAACTTCCCATCCTGATCCCTACTTTAACCTCCGATGGACCTGTAGTGTTTAGCCCATACCAGGACACCTCCAACGAGCCAAGCTCGCCGAAGACGCCGGCGAGCAAGAAGCGGGGGGGCCCGGGGCAGGTTTCAGGGGGTTGGGAGTTGGGTGGCTGTTTGGCCAGCTGCAGCTGACCTCACTTCTGGGCTTCTCCGTGGCTTTGGGCTTTGGGGGGGGTAGGTTTTGTTGCGTTTACGGGCTTCGAGGTTGGCAGGGTTTGGGGTTAAGGCGGTTTTGCGTTTGGGGTTCTACAAGCTCCAAGGCTGGGGGAATGGTCTGTAGGTCTTGGGCTTTTGTGTCGGATTAGGCCTCGCTCTCTCGCTCTCTCACTCACTCTCTCTCCCTCCCTCTCTCTCTCTCTGTAAGGTTTGGGCTCAATGGTGTTCGACTCTTCGGGTTCTCCTCAAAAAAATCTGGGGGCTCTTGTGGACAGATCGCCAAGCCTTGGGTCCGGTCCGTGATCCCATCACCGTGTGTCCTTTGGTGAGTTTTATGATTAGCGAACGCGGCGAAAATGGCCCGGATGCGTCCCAGGCAAACTGGGGGGGGGGGGGTCGTGCTTTTCTTCTCACATCCCCAAGCCAAGCACTCTCAACTTTCAACCCCGAGCCCCAGATGCGAGTGAGCCCTGAATGCCCTCCCGGTGGAAGGGCAGTGAAGTTGATCGACTTTGACACGTGCCAGGAGTGACAGGGCCCAGCCGTAGCCAGGTTTTTTTTGGAACTTTGGGGCTTGCAGTAGGCCTATGGCAAATAAGGGTTGGAAGGGATGCCTTCTTGAAGAAACTTGTTGGCTGGTGGGTTTAGCCGTTGTGATTTTTTTCAGGGCTTTACAGAAAGCAGGGCCGCAGATCTTGTGGTGTTTACAAGGGAATCCAAAACTGGAACCCCGAGATCAGAGCACCTGGGTCCTTAAATTCCTTAGATGCCTACAGCCGAAAAGAGAAATACATAATCCTAATAATATATGTGTATGATACATACCTAAGATAAAAATCAATCTATACACGTATATGTGCACCTATTCTATTCTTGGGGCTGCCCTTTTGGGGGGTTCCAACGTGATCCTGTTCAGGATTTACAGGCTTTAGGGAGGGTGCTCCAATCCAGAGGCTTCAGGGAGGATCTTGGGCTTGAAGGTGGATTGGCTTTCGGGGTTCAAGTAAGGAGGTTGCCAGTAGTGCTATCTAAGACAAACGCATCTTGGAAAAGCAAGTGTACTCCTCGTGCTTCATGAAGCGACCCCCAATCTACGAGCGTGCGTTACCCACATCTTGAGCCTAACAGGCCAGGTGTGAGGACTCACCCTGATTGTTTGTGAGTCCCAGGTATGAGCCGAAAAGTCCACGAGCGAGGCACATAGTTGGCACGCTGGGATTCTCGATGGCAAAAGCCCGGTCTAGAGTCTAGAGTCGAGGTCCTCGGAGCTATAGTTAAGGCTGGACATTGTGCTATGACAGGCATGGGTAAGCAATGAGCAGAAGCAAATGAACTTCTGTACTTCGAACATCCCCACCACAAGGGATACTCTTGTGGGGTAAGGTGTTTGGGACGGGGTGTGCACTTTGGAGATTCTCGGTAGGATGCTCTGAAAGGCTGTGTTCTAAGGGTGCAGTGCTTTGCGGGACTCTCCGCAGGATTCTCTGGAAGCAGCCGATCAAAAAACCCCACACCAAGGGCGGGAAAAGGAAAAAAACAAATGAAATCTACAAGATGAAGCGAAGACTGTGAGCCTGAAGAGGCCCGGGAAGGATGGCACGAAGGAAGCCAAAAGAAGTAGCACAACATCATTGTATAACATATGAGAGATGCAAATATAGATGCACATAGAGACACACACACACAGATTCTCGCGCTCTCTCTCTCTCTCTTAAATAAATAAGCAAATAAAAAATGGAAATAGATAAATAAATGAAACGTGTATATATTTATATACACACGCATACTGAAGGAAGGAATGGTATACGGAGAGCACAAGCCAGAAATATTGACTGATGAACCGATGAGATTCGAGGCGGGAACTGACTGCTTTAACCCTGGCTTTAATAATCTGTTTTGATCCTTAGATTGTGCCTAAACCCCCTCGCCCCACTTAGAAGGTTTGCTTCGTGGTTACGCACCCTCACCCCCTTTCAAGCAGTATGTCGACTATTTCAGTTGTTAAAGAGCGCTCTGCTCGTCTTTCCACAGGGATAAGTTAGCATACCCCATGTTACTGTACACAAGCTCTCGTCGAGTACTAGCCGTGTAGAGTAAAGAGAAGCAAACGGCACCGTCGTCCAGAACCACCGCACAAGGCGTGCGAAACCTGGGTATGAGCGTGCTGCTCAAAAGTGTTGTTTTTAACCAAAGGATTCGGATTGTCGTTGAGTCCAGCATAAAGCGTAAGACCGGACTCCATACGCCAATTGTCCTTTTTGACGAAAGCGAAGACAACGAAGGGAATCCAACTCAAGTCTAATTGTGGTAAGTGCTACGACCCGGATCTGCAAGCCAAGGATACTTGGCTCCAGAGGCACTGCAGGGTGACTACTCACCTGCGCCGGAGAACCAGGAAGAATGTGGCTTTAGTTGGTCAAAGGTCTTTGATAAACCGACATGTTTTTGGGTGTGTTCTGCTGGGTGTAGTAGGATCTGGCCCTTCCGGCTAATTCAGGCTTCGGGTTCTCAGGGGTCAAGGATTTATTGGCTAAGGGGGGTTTGCACCCCCTGCCTCCTCCCCCTACGGATTATATCCCCCCAAAATGCCAGTAGGTAATTCGGGGCCCAGGCCCAGGTAGTGCATGAGGGAAGTCACTTCAGGTATGTAGGGTTTTCCGAGGGGTTTGGTGTATTTTCGGCAGTCGAGCCATTTCGGGTGTGCAGGAAACCCTTCTTGTGCATGACAGGGGCGTAAAGCTCGGTACCCTCAACCCTGGGGTTTGGGATATGCAGGGCTTTACACTTGTAGGAGGGAATCCCTCGGCCAGCTCTTGCAAAGGTCTGACCTTTGGAGTGTCGGCGTGATCTTGCGCAGCCGACGCGCTTTTGTGTGGTTTTCTTGGTTGGGTTTAGGGGCTACAGGGGTATTATACAAGCCCTAAGCATTGAACTCTAGACCCTCTTGGAAACACTCACCTACTTCGAACCCTCAGCGCTGCCTCACTCACCTGCGGCGTCAGAGAAGCCAAGCAGTTGGGGCTGCTTCGGGAAATGGGGTGGTTTAGCGTCAGCCCTGGGCGCAAAGCTTTGATCAAGCCAAGCGCAGCCGGCGCAAGGTACATCTTGATGACCGGGGACATGCCATTTGAACAGGAGGGGTCGCAGCTGCAGGGCACTGTGGGGGCCCCCAAGGCACTGAAATTCCGAAAGCGCATGGCATCTTTTTCATGCGTCCGCGGCTCAATCCCATGGTTTCGTGATTTTCGTGGAAGTTTGGCTTCGGGAGGTGTAGGGCGCAATGTCTTTGGAGTCATTGCCCACCTGGGCGCCTGGGAAGGACATCTTTGCGGATCGCATCTCTGACACCCGCTGCTGCCTCGGTTTGGGAGGGGGGGGGGGTGGCTGGGCCAAGCATCAGACAAGCCCATTGATCAATGGGGGGTTAGGGGCCCAGTTGCCTAAAGCGCATCGGATCCCTGTATCCTTTCGTGCCTGTAACCCCAACATTGCTTGAGAGCAGGTTGTGGGAGTGAGAGCATGAACTCGCTGTACCACAAGCTCAAGACTGCGCCGGCCTAAGCTTTTGCAGGCCTACCAAAGCACCTAAGCGCCCTGCCATCTTCGTCAGAAGATGAGATGCAGAAGTAGAACCGCTCAAAATCTCCTGAGGCCTTGCCCCCCCCCCAGCCCCCGCCCCCACCGCCAAAAAAAACGAAGGAGAGAAACAACGACATCCAAAGGTGAGGCTCAAAGGATCTAGAAGTCAGCCTGTTGCAGGTGTCGCCATGCATGATGAATAAGTTACCCAGTGTTCAGTTCGTCGAAAGTAGTTACGTTTGACAAGTATAGAATAGGATGGAAAAAGTACACGAAGCCCGAAAGATCGCGCTGTCATTCATTGCACATCTGAGTTCTCAAGTGGGCAGATGTAGAGGGTTACTACAGCTCGCTGTGTGTCCTCAGATTTTGTTTGGGGCACTTGGCTCGAAGCACCCGCGTTTCTCGCTGCAGGGTTCTGAGCTGTGGCTTTGAACCCTAAACCCTGGTTCAACCCACAACCTGAGGGTTTCTCGCTTCGAGGTGGACTCGGATAGGGTGGGTTTCTGAGCTGCTGATCTGACTCAAGCTTTAGATGGGTTTTCAGGTTTTTTGTCGAGTTCGGAGTTGAGGGTTTACATGGTTTGAGCTTCACTCTTTCATCCGCTCCGGCAATGGACCGAGAGCTCGAGTGGATTCGAAGCGATGAGGCTTCCGGCGCTTTTTGCCCAGCAAACCTTCGTTTGGCAACCCCCGTTGTCATCAACCCTGAGCCTTGAATCCTCAAGCCTGAACCCTTGCTAGCCTTCAGCAACCTTTCTGTTGCTGGCAATTCCGCATGCCGCTTGTAGGTTTGCCATGGACTGCTCCAACGGCTTATCGAAATTGCTGCAAACCCTGGCAAACTGAGAAAGCACCGTGCCCTCTTTGTCGTCCTGAAGCTCAGGCCTCAAGATAGCCTCAAGCTCATGCTAACCAAGAAGTGCATCCCGCTCAACGATGGATGCTGAAACAATAACGCAGACTGTTTCACTTGAGGTGCACCAATAGCAGCCCACGGGGCCCAAGCCTAACCTTGCAGAGGCCCCGAACCAGAAGCCGCATACCCGTGACATGCGAATGAGCGGAGGAGCCTCTCATCGCCCAAATGAAGGACCAGCTCGGGGATCTGGTGGAGAAGTGTCCCGAGGCGCAGCTGGGGCTTGGGGGGGGGTTTACAGGCTTTTGGGCCTGCGGGTTGCTCTTGCCCAAAGAATCCTCAGGCGGGGTTGGTCGTTCTGCACCCTCCGGTGGTCGCTACAAACCTGAGCCAAAAACACTGAACCCAAGATTGGCTGAACTCAACACATCTCAAACCCGCAAGCCCCAAACCTCCTTAAACCATGCAGGTCTTGTAGCCATGAACTGCCAGGACTTGGTGCACGACCTCTGCATGTGCCGATTTCTGAGAGGTGCGGAGCCCGCGTAATTTTAGGGTTTCGGGTTCGGGAGTTTGGGGTCTGGACCGGTTTTGGGGTTTGGGGTCAGGGGCTTGCGGGTCGCGTGTCATATAGAACTTAAGTCTGAGGATTCCGGGAGGAACTTCATCAAAGGGTCTAGGTTTGTTTGCATGTCTGCTGCTCCTTTACACCCTAAACTGACCCTCGTGCGTCTGGAGTAGTCCGCAGCTCCCAGGGCACGGCGGCGATCCCCAGGAAGCGGCGCGGTTCATGCAGAAGGCGTTGCAGAGAAGTTGAGCTGAGGGAACGAGGGCTCCAGCCAAGAATTTCAAAATAGGGTGTATAACGGTAGTGCTGCTTCTTACAGGCGTGCAGGTGCCTCATTAAGTAAGATAGAGTTTGTCGATTTACCGCAGTGCGGACTCTCCCGCTTTGATTCTCAAACCGTGTGCTTGGCGGCAGGCAATCGAATATCGGTGCCTTGCCTGCAATTGACTGCCCGTGGTGGTGTTTAGCGGCTTCTTGTGCTCTGCCGTAAACCCCCTGACACTCTCGGAGCCTGAGCATGGAAAGAAACACCTCATCGGGTCTTGTAGGGCCGGGCCTCTCTAAGCCCTGGAGAAGATTTTGAGGTTGGACCTGATCTCGAAATCGCCCTTCAAGGAGAAGGGTTCTAGGGTTCTGGTGAGAGTCGAGCTTTGGCACCGGGGGAAGCAGAGTCAGAGGGCCTTTGCAACCTGCAGGAAATTCGTGAGCGCCTCGGTGGCTGTGAGGAGGCACCGTCTTACATCCGGGTCAATCTAACGAAGAAGGGGAAAGGGTTTAGGTAGGGGCTTCCGGCCTCAACGGAAAGAGTCCGAGTTCAAGCTTGCTTAGACCGGGAATGTCCAGGTAACCCAGCTTGCATATATTTAGTTCGCCCACCCCTGGCTCCCGGAAGCAGAGTTTTCTCGGGAGGTAGACCTTGCGATGCTGCCCAGAGCAGAAGAACTGCCCCTCAGCTTGCATATCCTGGCCAGGGTTCATCTGCCGACCCCAACCCTAAACCCCACAACCCATACCTGAACCTTACAGCACAAAGCCGAAGGCTACCTGCGCAAAGCCTGACCGGAGCTGCCCAAACTTGGTCTGGCTACTAGCGTTATCAGCTTAGGCTCATCATCTCACCGGGAAACGCTTGCGTTCACGCTTGCTCTTGGGCTTTGGTGCTGGACCAGGGTTCAAGGTTTCCGATGTCTGGCTCTGAGCCCTAATCTCGAACGAAGCAGGAGGAAGCCGGGATAGTGTTTGTCGTAAAATGCTTAGCAAACGCGAAACCTAACCCCAACGTGACCCTACCACCTTATACCAGAACCCCATAAACGGCCCAACATTCCCAGGCTCGACTGCTTCCCGGTGCGCGTCATCCAAGGCCGCTCTATGGCAGCCCGGCTGCATCCCGGGGGGGGGGTAGTTTGTGGGTTCAGAGAGGTTGAGGTACCCCATGCGCCCAAAACGAAACCTGAAATCCAAGAAGCACCGGCAGTTTTTTTCGTACCGTTGCCTCCTAAACAGCTTCCTAAACTCATGTAGCCCCTCGTTAAAGTTCAGGCTACGAACGAATGGCTCGATCAACTTAGACTTAGGCCTCAACCCCTAAACCCGTGTGCCCTCAACCCCTTTTCGGCTCAGGACTCCTTGCCGATCATTTGTTCGGCGGCGCCTTGGCAGAAGCCCAAAAGTCCTCGCCTATACATTGTTTTCTTCAGAATTCGGGCCTTGCCGGGGAGGACTAACAATACACTAATTATAGATGGGGCTGCAAAGTTCAAGATGACAGCGCGCCTCAAAATTGTGGTTCTCAAGCCGGGCTCTGCCCTAAAGGCCCCTGAGCCTTACACGAACCTTAATTCCCTTGAACCTTCAAGTGCCCCCCCGCCCCCCCCCCAACACCCAGAACTTTACAGCCGCGAAACCCTGCACGCGAAGCTTAAGGTCCGCTTGGCCGACTTCAGGAAGCTGGAATCTGCCCGCTGCCTGCAGAGTGTTTGTAGGCTCTAGGTATAGAGCTTATAGAGCTAAAGTTTGAGAGATTGCAGTGCATGGTGCACCGGGATGAAGTTGTGGGTGGGTTCATCTGTTTTATTGGGCCCTACAAGACTTAGAGGGGCTTCGGGAACTTCAAAAACCTACGAGGGGCTTAGCTGAACATGCCTTGACCCCTCGAAGCCTCCAGGTCGACATGCACGCCACATGTCAAAGCTCTTGGTTTGACATTTTATAGCGAACTTTCATGTTGAAACGCAACATTCTCGGCAAGACCCTGGTTTCGCCTCTGTTCCCGCCCAGTTTGGGGATCCGGCAAGATGCTTGGCCAGCAGCCATGAACCTTGAATTTCAGATCACAAATTGTGAAACCCCAAGCCTAAGCCTTAGCTTGAAAGCTCTGGTGCGCAAAGGGAAGCCTCTTTAAAGCTCCTGACGGTCTGGCTTGTCCATGAATCCAGGTTTCTGCAGGCGTGAACATTCGAATCCTTTCACCCTCCGAACTCCGAAGCTCAGGAGACGACTTCATACTGGCGCAGCTGGAGCAGCGCTGGAGGGTGCTGCACAACCTCAGCAAGAAGCAGCACCTCGCACTTAAAGGTCTGGGAGCCCCTCTCTCAGAGACCTCCCCCTAAGCAGGAGAACCCTTGTTAAAGCATTCGGAGGTGATGAGAGAACAAGAAGGCTCTCTCCACCCTGTCAGGGAGTGTCGAGCCAGAAAAAAAACCAAAGCACGCCCTTAGCTGCCGTGACACGACCTAAGCAAAGCCAGAGCAATCATTTAGCTGACACACATCAACAGTGCCGGCGGGCATGTCCGGCACGACTCCGGAGAGACGTGCTGGCCATCTGCTGTGCCGAATGTGATGTTGGATTTGAGATCCGGTACTCCTCCGGTACTACTCCGGTACTTTTCCGATACTACTGTGGGGCACAATCCCAAGCACCAAAATGAGCACGAGAAATACGATGCTGTTCTTGTAACTGATCAGTACGGGAGTAGAATCGAAGTAGTACCGGCCTAGGGCAGTACCGGAGTAGACTGTTAGTGCAACGAGGATCAGCACAAGTTTTCGGTGCTTCGATGCAGAGGGTGTAGGACTCATAGGCTTTTCGGTCGACAACTGCATGAAGCAGTTGCCCTTAAGCATGGTTGCATGTTTTAAGCATCTCACAGCAACGTGTCTCATGACGGAGCCTCAACCCTAAACCCTCTGAGCCCTCTCCCCAAACGCCCCGCCTATGCAGCCTGCGGCTTCGGGGAGTTTAAGAAGTCGCACGTGGCACGAAATCTGTAGGAGCCTAAGCTTTCTAAGCCCTTCAACTCCAAGCGCTCACTCCCAAGCTCATGAGGCGACGCATGGTGAAGTACTTTGAGGCATCTCTGCACTGCTCGGTGGGAGTTTTAGGGTGTAAGCCTCGGCTTTATCTCGATTTCATTCAGGGTTTAGGGCTTGGCTTCAGGGGTCAGTGTGAGATGGTTCAGGATGTAGGACTCCGAATGGCCGAGACCTGAACCAGTTGAAGGAAGTTTAGGTCTGGACGTTCAGGTTCCAAACTCCCACTGGGAATCAAGACTGCCCGGCCACAGCGCATGCCTCAGATTCGCGACATGAACGGCGCTGCGATAGCGACCCTCATGAGTGAGGGCACCAACCAGCTGTCGAAGATAAAGCTCCTTGCCTTGCAGTGCTGGGGATTTTGTGCTGCTGACGTGTTTTTGAAGGGTGGAGGGTTTAGGGTGGCTTCGGGCTTGGGCGACAAACAAGGAAGACAAAGGACAACAACAAGCCAAGGACCACCCTTGGACTGGTGCAGGATTTCTACCCAGAGATGATTCACCAGGCCGAAGGGGTCGAAGGGTTTACGGACTCACTGGTGCCTGAGGTTTGAAGGGGTACAGTTTTGGACTCCTCATAGGGCAAAGAAGAGCGATGAAATTATTCATTCCCCAAAGCACCAGCAGAGCTCTGTCCTGATGCCAGGTTGCGGTGCTCAACTCTACCTCTGCATTCTCAGGGCCGCCCGGGCTGAAGATTTGAGAATCCCTTGCGCCTAATCACCCCCAAAGCAACAACAACCTTGAATGAAGCCCGAAGCCTACAAGGCCCGAAGCCCAGGGCCCGCTCAGCCCAAAGTTTCCAACCGAAGCCCCTTCCCCCCTTCCCCCGCCCTCCCACCCCAAACCCGCAAGGCCGTAAGCCCCAAACCGGGCAACGGCCCCCTGCAACTCAGGCTCTTCAACTTCGTCTCGCCGCTGCTGAATGAGCGGATGCAGGCCAAGATCAAGGTGGGCACTCTCAGCTTGCCTTTTGCATAGGGAATCATAGGTTTGCAAGTCGAAGCCTAGTCAGTTCTCGAAAAATGGTCAGGGCTAGACCCGAAGAGTCCCTCAAATCAAGCCCTAAAAACTACCAACTTCCGAACAAGTTGATGCGCGGTCTCCCTGCAGGTGTCAGCGACCGGCCTGCCCTTCGAGGACGCTTGTGGACTTCACCCTGTGCGGTTTAGTATTTAGGGGTTTCGGTGCTGGCGATTTCTTGCTTCCGTGGCTTGTAGCTACGGTAATTGAGCTTTGATGCACGCCAACCGGCTACAAGGGACCTACCATAGAGTCCTTTTGTAAGCCGAACTACAAACCCTGAACCCCCCTAGGCTCTAGTAGTAAACCGTGGCAGCAAGCGTGCTTTAGCTTTATAACTCACAGCGTTCGTACCTACTGAGTGGAGGGCCCATATACTCAACGCCAGAACTGTCGAGTTCTCAAAGCCAAGCCCTAAAAGCGTAACCGCCGTAACCGTCGTCAACCCTGCCTCCCTGAACCCTGAACCCTTTGACCCTTGCAGCCTTGAGCCGGATCACCCTTGAGCCCAGGAAAGCCCCTGAAGCCCTAAGCCAGCCTAAGCCCCGAACCGTCTTGAACAGGAGCTCGCAGGGCTCATGGAGCCTAGAGCTCTCCACTCTTGGGTGCAGGCACGGGTCACTTTTCTTCAGGGGGTCTAGGGCTTACGAGGCTTCAGCAGAGGCTTGAGGCTTTAAGAGGAGTGGGAGACTATAGCATACTATAGCAGGATACACAGGGGAGTCTTGAAGCGGGGGGTCAAATCGTTCTCACAGCTTCCGGGTTCTTGTTTAAGGGTTTTAGGGCAGGCTCTGGGCTCCCCCCCCCCGGAGCGACCCGAAGCCCCGAAACTCTTTGAACTTGTGGAGATGAAGGCTTGGGGGTGCAGGACGAAGCCCCAAGCCCCGAGCCACCAGTTCCGTGAGGGCTTCGGAGCGCAGGCTTCGGGATTTTGCGGTTTAGGGTGCAAGGCTTTTGGATGTGGTACTGCAGGACGAGGCTTTGTACATGGTTTGTTGCCTGGGCTTAGGGTTTACTTCTTTTGGGGAATCAAGTTGCCGTTCAAGCGTAGGGCTTAAGGGTGCAGAATTGCTGGTGGAGGAGACGAGCAGACATCTGAGCCTAGCTCTCAGAATGTGTCCAGTTTGGAATCTGTTTGAATGACAAGGCACTGGGATGGTAGAAAGGTACACCTAGGCCAGCACTGAGCAAGGGTGAAGGGTGATTTGGGGGCTTCGTGGTGCAGGGTCGCAGGGAGTGACACTGTGCTGGGGAGCCTGGTGCGTTCTCAAACCGTAAGACCTCGAGCCCACATCCGCAAGCGCAAAACTTGCTCTCTGAGGCTGCAACCTCAGACCGACCGAAGCAGGGCTTGGGGGCCTGTAGAGCTAGGGTGCTGAAGCTAACATGGCTGTGATTTCGCTTCCAAATCAAAGGGCCTCTACCAAGCAAGTACCACAAGAGGTGTTACTAGTTACTAGTACCCAGAATCCTCAATATATAGAACACCCTACACCCAAACTCCAAACCCTAAACCCCAGGAAAGACTGTTGCTAGCATGGGGGAGCCTCTTGCAAGTTCAGGACTCCGAGCTCGAGCTTAAAAATGTTGTCCAGGCCCAGGCCCCAAACCCAACTAGGTCACGATTTGTTTTCGAACTCGACCCTATTGTGTTTCCTTAGCTGCCCGAACGTCTCACACCTGAATGGGAAGCCCGCTGAATCCAAAGCAGTGTTGGGCTGGATGTGCTGAGGCTGGTCGCACCTGGTCGTGCCTAGCGGCGGGAATGCACATGGGCGGCAGCTGTGGAGTTCCGAAGCCCTAAGCCGAGCTTGTTGTGGACCTGCTCGAAAGAAAGCCCAGGAGTTTCTGTCGCGCTGGCTGCGCGCTGGGGATCCCTTGACCTGGCGCCTGAGCTTCTTTGGAGGGCTTTTGGCCAGCTGAGGGTTCGGCCCTAGGCCCTTAAGGGTGAACCCAAAAGTAAACGTTGAATCCTAGTTCAGGTGTTTAGAACACCTGACACTTTGGGGATGTTTAGCTGACTTGATCCTCACCTCCATGCGGGAATTCACAGCCTTCTCAAACATTGTGTGGGGCTTGGGCGGAGATGCTGTTACTGCTTACCCCCCTACTCCCCTTAAACCTTGAACTCAGAACAGCGCCGGAAACCCTCAGGCCCCTGCAGCCCCAAAACAAAACCACCTCCCCAAGTCAAACCCAAACGGCCTAAGCCATGCCCCCTAAAGCCCCTGAGCCCATAATCGCAGACCCTTTTTGACCCTGAACCGCCGCCCGCAAGCAGGACGGCCATCCTGGAAGACGGTGCAGAGGTCCACTTGCAGGGCTTCGGGCCGTTTGGGGGTTTGAGGGTTTGAGGGTATTGTGCGGACGGGGGAGGGGCTTTTACTTTTCGCAGGTGTTCAGGGTGGTTGAACCCACGGCGACTGTTTATAAATGCAAGCCTCAGAATGACGCATCCAGACGGTGAATAGTGAAGCCCGAGGCCCTAGACCTTTCGGGCATTTTGAATTTGCGGCCCGGCTCAAAAACCTCTTCAACCGACAGTTAGACAAAAGGCACATCCACTTTTCTCAGGCCATCCTGACTTCACATGTCTTCTGAATCCCCACAGCCACCCCACAAACGCGGCAGCCATCCAACCCTCACATGCTCGCAGGTGATGATTCACACCGCATTTCTCCCGCAGGCGCACTTGCCGCGTGACGGGTGTCACAGCGTTTCGGGCGCAGAACGAGAAGACGAATCCTAGTTCCGAGCGACGTGATCGTAAAAAGTGCCGAACCGTGCCGAGCCCGCTCGATGGCTTTTACTGCTGAAGCGATGGCAGGATGAGTCAAAGCAAGAAGAGCTGGCGTTTGTCGGGGAGGAGAATACTCACTCTTCTTGCCCTGGCTTAGGACGCCCAGTAGTACCTTGATGTTGATGTGGAAGTAGACCTTACGCCCCAAAGGGCCCCAAACTCCAAACCCGAGATTCATGTGTGCTCGGAGCCTAGACTCTACACTCGTCTGCTTCATTCTCGACCGCAGGCCCCGAAATCCGTAACTTTAACCCTTGCTTTATTTAACCTTCGCCCCTGCAGGGACCCAAAGCCCGGAACAGTCCTTGATGTTTTCCTGTGCAGGAAAAGCTGCTCCTGCGAAAGGCGATCACCAGCGAGTTCAAAGCGCCCGCGGAAGGCCCTTGCTATCTGCGGCTCCTTCTTTCCACTTCGGAGGGTTCCTGAGGTGCTACCTTTGAAACAAAGGTAGAGATGTAGTGGTTCATGGAGAAAGTTATTTTTTTTTGAATGGCCGCAGCTCACAGCTCACAGTAAACAACCAGGGCACTTGGCCTTGCTGGCTTTCAGGGTTTGCGGAAGTCTGGGCTTGCGGTGCTCTAGCAGCGCTCGGCAGGCGTGTAGTTTTCGGGACTAAGAGGATGGTGGAACCCTAAAGGATAGCACCTCGGCCCCACTGTATCCATTTTCAAGGGGTTGCCAGGAATGGAATCGAAATCAAACCTCAAACCTCATGGAGGTAAGGTCCCAGGGGTTGGTGTGCTGCAATGCAGGTGTTTACTGGCTATGCGTGCTGGCCCCAGCGACAGGTCCTGAAACAAGCGGGGCGAGGTGGCACACGAGCTATTGAATGTCCAGGTAGTAGTTCGGACGTCATGCTAGAATGCTACAAGTCGGTTGACATCGGACGCACACGCGCCTGCACACAGACACGCATGCACGGACTAATCGCGCTTTCTATGTGTTGATTGCAAAGTGGTGCAGCTTAGCCTGTGGATAGCAGCCCGATGAACGGCAAGAACTGGCAGGTGCAATTCTGAATTCTTTGCCCAAGGCCCCAAAACGCTACCAACCCTAAACCCCAAACCTCTAACCTGTGTTAACCCAAATCCTAGGCTTGATCCGGGTTTCTGAATGCAGGGCTGTAGTGTCTCTGGTTTGGAGGTGGGCCCAGATTGTGCAAAATGCTGTGCCTTCTTCCTCATTGACAACAACAGGTTTGTTGGGGTTAAGGGGCTAGGATTTGGACGTTTAGGGGTTTGCATCCTTCTGCCCACCAGGTCGACAACAGTGCCTCGTGGGTGAGCAGCAAGACCATCACCATTGACGTCCAGTGATGCTTCACCGAAACCCTTAAACTAATCCTAGAAGGCGCAAGCCCTACGGCCCCCGTAAGCCCTGGTGCGGAACTCGGCATCCTACCACTCAGCCCGACTTGGGGTTCCGCCCTTCATTCACTTAGCGTGCCGACTTTAAACAGGTTCCGAAGGTAGTGCTACTTGTGGTCCCGTCCTTTGCCTTCCTCCGTTGAGGAACCGCTTCGATTCCGGCACGCATGTACGGACTGCCTCGGTCGCGACAAGTGCGAGACAACTGGCAGGAGATAGAAAAGACGGCGAGTCCTGCACTCTTGTTCTTGAACACCCTTGACTTCCCGCAATTATGGGTTGCCGTTTGAGGGTCCATTCAAATTATGGACCCCATTTTGGTACCTGACATCTTAAGGTGTTAAGGAATATAAGGAATACACGGTCAGGAGTGTCACCTTAAGCATGGGATTGGCCTGAGGCTCGGGAGCCTGCCCCATGACCGATTTCAGGCTTTAGGGGTTTGGTGAAGTTTCTCAAATCCGAAACCGTTCTATGTAGGCTTCCCTGAAAGGCTCAAGGTGCGGCACGAGCGTAATGCCTTCTTTGGGGAGCCCTAAGCCCTAAACGCTGACCCCTGAACCCTAAGCCCGTTTGGGTGCACCGGAAACCATCTTTTACCAGAGAATTTACCCTCGTTTCAGGCCAGAGTGGACTTCGAGTGCGAGCCGTGGCCAAGCTTTCCGCAGGCATCGGTGGATGGCTTGTGGTCGGTTTCTTTTGGGGTTGGTCGGCACTCGAGGCCGGGGAAAAGACTACTAACTATAAGTTATACGGTAGGTTCGCGCACTATTTCTCTCGACTTCACGTTGACGCCCGTGGGCAGCACGAAGTCCTGAATACAATGGCAACCTTGAGATCCAGCACACTCGAGGTAGCAAGCCCTAGGCCAAACAAGAACTCGGGACCCAATCTCCACATGCGGAAAGCCCTTCCCAAAAGTCCTGATGCGAGCCACGAACTCGAATGCAGACACGTGTCGTACGCCGCGAACATAATAGACGCACACGTGCGATACGAGCTGCGAGCTGATGCGTCTGATGATATGTCTGTTCTCCTTCTTCTTCATCTTCTCATCTAATTATCATTCTTTTTTGTTCTTCTTTCCCTTGCTTTGTCTGGTCTTGTCATGTCGTCCGTCATCCCCTGTCTTCTCCAGCAAAATCTGTCTCTCCTCTCTTTCTCAGAACATCCTGGTGAGACTCTCTAGGTTCGCATGCGGATCTGCACCCGGGGTCCCCACCTCCTGGGCCCACGGTCTGGTTCAACAACAAATTCTCATGACGGCTGTGCTTCCTCCACCGTAAAAGGAGTCATGGCACGCAGCAGATGCCACAAACCCAAGAAATCTGCAAGGTCCTGAGGTCATGAAAATTTACACTGGTCTGTCTTTTGGTGAAGCCAGCACCTGCGGTGACTATGGTGGAGCTAGTCTTTGGAAGAAGGCATGTCCGCCACCTCATCCTGTAACTGTCAGCACTTTTGACACGCGCAAACAAAACGAAGCTCCAAAAGTGACGACAGTCAATTACGAGGATCGCGCACTCATCCTCGTAACTGTCAGCACTTTTGACACGCGAAGGCTCCAACAGTGACCACAGTGAGGTGGCGCACCCTGTTGGCCTCACAGCGATGCAGCTGATGCGACTCGCGAACGCTTCGCGGACACCGCACGATGTTTGAGCACCTCCTGGGCCCTTGAAGCGGGAACCCTTCGGCTACACATTCCAAAAACACTCACAATCTAAACGCTTTTAGCCCGAGCCGTGAACTGCAGCGAGGAGTAGGACGAAGTGGGGAGTTGAAAACACATCCCGAGGAAGCAAATTCTTGGAGCACCTTTTAGACTTGCGATGCCCGAATCCCCTAAGCATTAAACCTATTCTAAAAAATGGCACGCTCGCACCCGAAAGCCCAACAATATGCCTAATTTGACTATAACTCGTGGTCTTTTTCGCAGGCTCGCGACCTCTGCCAGCAACTGTTGGCATTCCAGCCAGAGGACGCCAGATATGAAAGAATGATGCGACTTGCGATTTTTGAGAAACATATTCTTGCCGTTGCGAACGTTATCATCCTTTTTCGCTATCGAATGCATCATTCATGTTTGGAGGAGCGGCCTGTTAGGCGCCCTTAGGGTTAGCTTGTTTCGGCTGAAGGGTGTTGCGGGGTTGAGGGTTTTGTGCTTCTGCGCACAACCCTTCCTTGTGACCTGAAGTGTGAGAGGCATCTGCTCGGAGTTCGTAGGGATCAGAAGGGTCGCGCAACCTCATCCCAAGAAAGGAATCTTTGAGCCTGCGTGATGAAGCTTCCTTGGCGGCTTCTAGGTAAAAGGTGTTAAGGGTGCTCTGAGTATGTTATGAAGTTCTTCCAGACCTTTGCATTGACAGGACCGAAGTCCTTCTGCGCGGGCCGCTCTGAACCATCCCTGGCTGAAGGGCAAGTGAGCTCCCGAAGGGAACGATGGTGATGGCTTGGGTTTCATTGTTTTTTTCGTTTTTTTCAGCTTAGGACCGCTTGGGGTTCTAGGGACTAGGGACCGACTCAGTATGGGCTGTGGGGTGTCATCCCTGAACTCCGAGCTTCGCTACATCGAGGGGTTTCGGAGCTTCTATAGGTAAACGCGACTTAGATAGGACTCATGGCATATGTGGGCTTTGTTCCCATGGCCGAAGCACAGCAGTGTAGGGTGCGTTTGTGGCTGCACTGGCTCCTGGGAATTTGGGCCAGGGGCTTGCCCAAACCCAAGCCGTAGCTGCCCAGCTTTTGCGAGGAAGGCGTGCGGGCTTAAGGCTGCCTCTGAGGCTAAGGCTGATGAGGGCCGGGGCCTCTGCCTGTCTCACCCGTGGCTGCCTTCCTCGCCACTGTGGTAGACTACAGGGGCCAAAGCATTGAAGGCCTTGTGCGGCTTAGGCCGTTGTGGGAGGTAAAACTTTCGGGTTGTCAGGGCTTTCATTCTCTAGAACTCCGAGAATACGCATCCGCAAATAGCAGGATGTGCAGCCCAATCTACACTTCGACATCCGCCCCTGTGGCCATCCATGGAAGCCGCTTCATGCTCTCCTCCCCCGGACACGAAACCGACACAAAGTCCTTAGACTTGGACTCCCAAACCTCCTCAAGCCAGAGCGCCACAAGTCTGAGGACATGCCGAACCCACCAGCGAACCCTCAACCCTAACATTCCTGGGCCGCTGGCCCGCATCCCATGCGTGTGGGCAAAAGCAAAGGTCTTACAGTAAGCTGGAACGGTCCTGAAAGCAGAGTGAAAACGGCTATCGCCACGGAAACTGTGGGGGGTTTCAGTGTCCTGGGCAGCCTGGGCATGTGCAGAAGGAGCATTTGCCTTCTGTTGACAGCATCCAGCAGCCAAAGGCTGTTCAACAGAATTGGGAACCATGACAACAGCTGTTTCGGAACCCCATTTACCTATAACGCTCAGATTCTCCTGTTCTCGTGCGGAATGTTCACGTTCCATCACGTTCCCATATTCTCCCAGTTGCAAGATCCTGGGAATCCGGCTTTTCATTTCGGCAGCTCGTTGCTGGCGCTGTGCCTTGAGACCTGTGTACGCATTTGTTGACCTTGCGGAAAACCCCCACCTATCCCAAACCCAGAACCATAACTCCTATCCCCTAAGCCCTGCCCCCAAACTGCAAAGAGCTCGTCGCCAGCACGGTTCTGTGGGATCCGCGTCCAAAGGTGCAAGCCATACCCAGAGCCCGAGGGGAGGGATTGCAGGGACTATTTGGGCCAGAAGTCGATGCTCGAAGCCTAGATCCCCAAAATCCTAAACCCCCGCATCCTCTAAACTCTAAACTTAGCAATGCCGCAGACCCCCCATGAATCACCCCCGGCCCTAAGCCTGTTGTGATGCATGGTGGGCGTGTCCGGGGTCAGGGCAGCTTCGGTTCCTGAACAGCTACAGTTTGGGTTGCCGCGAGCTCCTGCCCTGTCCGAGCTCCCCGTGTGCCCGCAAACGCACAGCTGCGCAACACGCAAGTGGCATTGACATCTGGAGCACGCTCGGGCAAGCTCGGTTGTCCAAAAAGAATCTGTTTTGCCCGTAGCACCCGGCCATTTACACCTTCCGTGTGCACGGTGTTAGTAAACAATCAATCTCGCTCTCACTCTCTCTCTCTCGCTCTCACTCTCACACTTTCTCACACTCCCGCACACTCTCTAAGTCCCTCAGTCACTCACTCGCTCGCTCGCTCACTCACTCACTCACTCACGCACAAGCTCACTCACTCTCTCACTCACTCACTCCACTTACTCCACTCAGTCCACTCACTCCACTCACTCCGCTCACTCCACTCACTCCACTCAGTCCACTCAGTCCACTCACTCCACTCACTCCACTCCCTCACTCCACTCACTCCGCTCACTCCACTCACTCCACTCAGTCCACTCACTCCTACCTCACTCAGTCCCACACACTCACACACTCACACACCCGCACACTCATTCTCACAGTCTCATACTCTCACACTCTCACACTCTCACACTCTCACACTCTCACACTATCACACTCTCACGCTCTCACGCTCTTCTCGCACTCTTCTCTTCATACACTCTCACACACACACATATGCTCTCTCTCTCTCTATCTCTCTCTCTCTCTCTCCGTCTCTCTCTCTCTCTCTCCCTCTGTCTCTCTCTCTCTCTCTCTCTCTCTCTCTCTCTCGCTCTCTCTCTCTCTCGCTTTCTCTCTCTTTCTCTCTCTCAACCGACGTTGAAAAGTTTCGCAATACTATATGGGAAAGTCGACTTCCCTTGAGGTGTATTGTTGTGTGGCTTGGTGAGGACATGCCTCTAGGTGGATATGTCGTGTTGTTTGTCAACAAAATCAAGAGGGAAGAAGCAGAAAAAAGACGTCTTGCGAATCCGGAGGGCTGTTGTCGGCCCATTGTCGGCCTTTCTCTTGTTTCTGTTCTTTGGGGATTTCAGGTTTTCAGGCGCATCGTGTATCTTTGGTGTGCATGTCGTAGCAGTCACCTTCTTGCACCGTTGAGGTTTGTAGGAGCAGAGCCAGCTAATCCTAGTGGCGGTCTTCACTTGATGCTCGTCTGCAGAAACGGTTCGAACCCGTTAAGATATAAGGCGAGTATAGGGCACTAGTGTTTGCCGCCGAGGGCTTCTTGCACAGGCCTGAACTCGGAACCATTCCCATTATCAAGTTTGTGCGAGCCTGACTTCACAGATTCACAGGAGCATGGCGCATGTGGCGCGGGAACTTCTCAAGAAGGAGCTGGTAAATCTGATGAAGGACCAGCGACCCTTAAACACTGTACAAAGCCCATGGGTTCCATCCTTTTGAAGTCCCAACAGCTTCGTGGCATCCACTAGTCAATGCTCGGTGGAGCTGACACTCCCCAAATCGCAGTAAGGCTTCAATAAGGCCTCAAAGCAATCGATAGAATCATAGAGACCAGAGACACAGCCTCATTCACCTTGTAGCCCCCTAAGCCCCAACACGAAAGAAGCAAAGCTCTCAATCCGCAAACCCCGAAAGCCTTTTAAAGCGGAAAGGACGAGAGCTGCGGCTTCTCCGTCGGACTGGAGGTTCGAACCTTGGCCTGGGATTCGTGCAAACCTGGTGCCATGGGTTGAGGGTTCAAGACCCTCAACGACTCAACAACACACCCTATAAGCCGCTAAGTGATTCAACCTTGCCACCCCAAGTGACTAGTCCCTGAACCCCGAAAGCCGCAAAAAGCCGCAGGACGATTCGGACTTCTTCACTTGGCGTGTCGTTTTCGAAGGCCCATCAGACAGCCTGCCGGGATCCAAGACCCTGGTTGGCTTTTATGGTACGGTGTGGGATTCATAGGGGTCAGGGGCCTAGGGTTAGGGCCTACGAGGTTTGGACTTTGGAGTCATATGGGCTTTGGGGATGTATGGGACTTTGCACATGGAGGGATTGAGATTTGGGTGTCGGAACTTTAGTGGGTTGTCACTTTTTTCGTATGAAGGAAAGTTTGAGGTCTTCTAAGGTTGAAGGGTTCCAGACTACACTCCCTAAACCCTAAGCCCTAAACCAAGCTGAAGGTACGAGGGCGGCATCTTCACCGCCATTCTCAAATTCCCCGGCGACTTTCCGAACAATCCGCCGGAGATGAGGCCAAATCTGCAGTGCAGCTCCAAGCTTTGAGTGTTTTTGGTGTTTACGGTTAGAGCCCCAAGGACTGCAGCAGTGTAGCACCGATTTTGAGGGTTTTCGATTTCCTGCAGCGGGTTCTGATTTAGGGCTTCTCTTCAGAGTCGAAGTCCGGGGCTTTCTGGGCTTGAGGGGCGCGGTGTGTCGAAGTTCGACAACCGATATACACCTAAATCCGAAACTCCACTGTAGGCAGTTGATGTTTGAGGCCTGCATCAAGAATCGGCACAACACACTTCCGAATCGGCACAACACAATTCCCAAAGTTGCAGGATTGTTCTTGAGCCCATCAGCGCCCTCAGGCCCGTGCTAACCCCAAGCGTCCTCGAAGCCGGCCAGACGATCAAAACCCCCGAACACCCTTGTTAGAAGCCCGATTGCGACTGGGAGGTTTGAAACAGAGATGTGGCACCCCAACATCTACCCAGATGGCCGCGCCGACCTGGCGCAGTTGTTGGCGCATTGGCGCGTCGGGGGGATGGAGTGGGTGAGAGCTTAGGGTGTTGAGTTCAACCCTTGGCTTTGACTTTGTGCAGAGTCTGTACACCCATTCGTAGACGTTCCAAGGTATTTCTTCCTTCTTGTTGGTGCCTGGTGTCTGCAAGTCTCAACTCTACTTATGTGCCTTCTTCTAGCAACTGTGCCTATGATTGTAGGTCTCGCGGTGCCTGGCGTCCCCTCCGTTTGGGTAGGGCTCTTGTGGCAAGGTGTGCATCTCCATCCTGCACCCACCAGGGACGGACAGATTCAACGATCAGGAGCTTGAGAACCAAGGGGAAGTAGGATGCCGCTCTCTGGAGGGTGGGGTGTTCGTAGGTCGGACATCGGGACCTCCATCTTAGGACCAAACGGATTCATACACCACCCCGTCCTTTGCAAAGGGGGTCCTCGCAAAAACCCTATTGACATCCCCAAATGCATTGCAATGCATGGTCTTGTCAGAAAGTCTGAATTGCCCTCGGATTCCGTACGCACTAAACCTTGCCAGCCTTACCCTCTCACAAAACGGTCCCAAGCCCGCACAGGAGACCGCAGACGAGCGCTGGCGTCCAATCCTCGGGGTCCACAGCATCCTCATCAGTGTGCGCCGACCGCTGCTTGTAGCTGAGGGGCTTCTAGATTTTATGGTAGGGGTATAGGGCTTAGCATCTGCACCCCACCCCTAAAGTAAGAATCGGCCTCAAGCACAAACCCCCGGGTAAAGCCAGATAAAACCCCAATTGCCAGGTCATCTCGATGCTGGTAGACCCGAACTTGAACTCACCCGCGAACATCGACGCCGCGGTCCACATGAAGAACGATTATGAGGGGTGGAAAAAGAAGGCACGCGTGTCTTTGCTTGGGGTTTGAGCCGGGATGTAGAGTCAATGTAGAGGGCTCTTGGAGGGAGGAAGCATCTCTCCTTCGGCAGTTCGATAGCAGAGAACCTGAGCAAGAGCCAAATTCAACGGATCAGATCTGGTCCACAATGACCCTCGAGGCTTTCGGCTTACCTCACCCGACTGGTGAGACCGGCTTAGGGCTTCGGGCTTAGGGTTTTCATGTCTAGGGGGAAGAGTTGGCCCAGTGAAGATCTCTCGGATTTGAGGTGTTGAAGGTTTCCAAAAGCTGAGGTGCCTCATGGCATCGGTTGGGTTTTTTTGGCTTTGGCTGTTATTTAGAAATCTACCCCCTCCTTGCCGCGGCGGCTAGTGGCCACAGGTAAGGCAGCTGACGCGGAAGAGCGTTGAAGGCTGAGATGATCTAAGCACTCTTAGGGCGCTTAGGGTGTAGCAAGGTGCAGTGTGCCGGATGCTGGAACCCTATAAGAGTTTTTCACTGAAGACAGAGGGTGCGGGAGTTCTTGGGTTGGGTCAGGGAATTCAGGGCGCTGAAGACAGAGCGCTTCTGGGTCAGAGGCTGTCGCCTGGAGGATATAACTTATCGGCTGAGAGCTTTGTCGACTCTCCTGCACGGATCCATCTTTATTGAGGCATGGGTCGAAGAACGTCCCTAACGTGTTCCCATGCACAGACGTCCAAACCAAACAGTCTCCCGAACTCTAAACCATGGAGCCTTAGCCCTCCAGAACCCTCCAACACCGTGAGACTGCCCCAAGAGAGTTCGTACCTCCAAACCAACACAGCATTCTGGAACCTCCTGCATCTCCACGTCGCCGGTTGCTTCGCTTCCGCCTGTGTCAGCCAAAAGAATGGACACATCCTGGAAGCGGCTCGCAAAGTCCGGGTGGGAGGCTAGGGGCGGCTTATTTCGGCCGCCGTCAACGTGTTTCCCTACGGCCTACAAGCTACATTACCCCTCCATTTGTCAGAACCAATGACACCTTGATTCGCTAAATTGTATTCAAGTTTATTAAGCCAAATTCGACCCGGAAGTAGTTGCAGGGTCCAGATCTACAGAGAGCCTCCCTCGACTAATTGCAAGTTCTGCGTGAATGGATGCCATGAGTGTCAGAAGCTGAGCTTTCTGAGCGTCTCACCTGCGAGCCATGGTTGAAGATGTTGAGCTTCGGTGATGATGGAGTCTTGGCCATAGAGGCCTCACACCCCGCACCCCAAATGATTCAAATGATCCTATGCCCAAAATCCCACACACTAGCCCCTCCTGTCGGACCCTGAACAAGTCCTCAACCTTAAGCCGTGCAACAGCTCTACCAAAATGTCGCACCCCCGGGAATTAGATTTTTTGCTTCAGGGCTTCAACATGCGATGTGCAAGTGCCGCGATGTTGCCTTGTGTTTTAGGTCCCAGGTCCAGCTTAGAACTTAGAACACCCCGCCCATCCCTAGATCCCTATGACCCTATGACTGTCCAGTCCTCTTGGATTCAACCTCAAACCCTTTAATCCCTTAGATTCCTTCTGGTTTGGGATTGTGTTGCCGTCTGGTTTGAGCCCTTGCCTGAACTGTAGCAGCACCTTCCCATGCTTCCGCTCGCCAGAAGAAGGACCACGATGAGGCCGGGTGACCCCACGTGTGTGGCGATAGTGCTTTTCAGGGTCGCCGTGTCCCCTTTCATTCGCAAAAGCCTACCATGTTCGCGAGCAAGCTGGGTCTACCTTCGTACTCTTTGAAGACAGCCAGCACGTGGGCTCACTGTTGTGCAGCGACGAATCCATCGCGGATTCTTGAGAACCTTCGCCTGATTGCCGCATATCCGTGAGCAAAAGACGGAAGCTCGATTCTCGAAACCCAAAATGGCCTGAACCCTATAAAATCTACTGGATGCAAGATGCCCTTTTGGGGTCAGCGCAGGTAAGCAGTCACGTAGAGTCCACACGACAACGGGAGAGGGGGGGGGGGGAAACTTCCGGCTGTTTGGCTTTCAGGGGAGTGACGCGGAGTCTCAAGACCTCGGACCCCCAGTGGTGCCCTCCTTGTCCTCAAAAGTGCTCAATGTTAGTTCGGAACGGAAGGTCTACGTCTCGTGACCCGAAGCCTTAAACCCTGAGGGCAAGGCCCCAGCCTCTGGCAGTTCTGCGCAATGCATCTGAATAGCTTCTTCAACATTTCTGCTCTGCGCTTGGTTGACTCGTCGGCGCATGCACCCTTCATGCCCTTCCATGTTCTCAACTCTGACCTTGCAACGACGGCCCACAGCTGCAGTTGTACGATGATCAGTTTGGGCCTCAAAGCCCTGAAGCCTGCACGCCCTTAAGCCCTCGACCCCTGGACCCCAGACCCCTGTAGTGGGAGTCAAGTCATCAGAACGTGAGCCTTGTTGTTTTTTTTTGCACGTTCTACCTTGGACATCTGTAGCCTTTATAGATGCCCCTGCTGAAGGCTCCCCCAACCCCAAAACCCAGAACACCTGGACGTAAAACCATCCCAAGAAAGCCATGAAAGACCTCATGAACTTCGCGGGAAACTCCCAGTACGGCCAAGACGGCCTGCAAACAGAGACGCAGCGGCCTTGGACAGAGGGGTTTAATTTGGGTACCCAAGGCCAAGGCCAAAATTCTATAACCCCCAAGAAGTTCACCGGAAAGTTGCCCTCTGTAGCTGTCATAAGGGGTTCGGGTCATCCGCATAATTTCAATTCCCAAGCTGTCGCCAAACTGTTGCTGCGGGTTCCAGCATCAGTGAAGATCTCCTTTGGAGACGCCTCTCCCAACTCCTGTTCCATCAACACCGCAACCCAGCCCTGTCAGCACCAACCCTGACAACCCAAGGTTTTTTTGGTGTTTAGGGGCTTAAGGTTTTTAGACCACCTCAAGATGTCCCGCTCCCACAAGCCCGGAGCCCACTAAATCTCGACTTTGCTTGCTGCCTCTGAGGTGGATGCAGGATGAGCAGTCAGGCGCCATCGGATTTAGCTTGGGCGGTGCGAGAAACGAATTCCAGCCACGAGATGTACACCTTCACATTTTGCGCCCGTGGGAGTCGCCCGCTGCCCGCGGTTCACAACTTTCCAACGTCACCAGTATTTCCGTCACATACGTGCCATGGGGTACAAGCGCAAAAGTTTGCCACAAGGTTGCTGGCAGGACACAGTTTCGGTGCGGAACCCGGCGTCGCCCGCGAGAAGCCCAGATGAGCAAGAGTCTTGAGGCGTGTCTGTGCCCAATCTGCAACAACAACAAGGCGACATGAATGGTGTCGGTTTGAGACACCGCAGTCTGAACTCCCATAGGTCGCCGCCATAATGAACGATAGCCCGCTGCAGATGACGGTGGCGTTCAGGGCTTCAGATCCCACCAGTGTGCAGATGGATTCAACAAAAGGCTTGCTTCGAACTATCCAGTGATCTAATTGCGAATGGCAATTCCATGAGGAGCGTCAAGCTCATGAGGCCAAAGCATTTGCCTTCGTGGCCGAACCACAATTGGCATGTGATGCCTGAATCGTCAGTTACGAGCATTTAAGTTCTCGAGGTGTCGTTTACACCTCGAGAACTGAGAACTGCTCGGTCCGGCAGGCGGCCAGCAACTGCCGTGCCTTGAGCGACACAACCACGTTATGGCCACGTGCGAACAGTCCAGCGAAGCAGAGCTTGCATGACGGATTCTTTCCGAAGCATCTCAGCATAGATCAACCTGCCGTGTACTTGGCATGCAGCTCGGACATGAGACTTGCAACGCTGCTGTGGGGCAAGCGGCAGACATGGCCAATAGACCGGCCTCGAATGCAAGATGCGGAGACAACAGAACTTTGCCAACCAAGCTGTTGCCTTTGCAGCAGCTGACGGGGCAACGCGCTGCCGCAGAAGTAGACGATGGCCCCTCTGGCGCGCGCGAGCTTACCGAGAGCCGCGAGGCCACGCTGGTCTGCATGACCCAGGCCGAAATCCGTGACCGTGTACGGACGACGTTGATGCGTGTTGCAGGCCTTTGAGCACGGGCGAGCCGTCTGCCGCGCCGGCTGTAGCTGCAGGCATAAGACTGCGTCGCCGCAAAACTGCTTCAGCAAACAACGTGTACAAACACGGGCACTGAGTCGCCTCATGTTGTTTTGCGTGGTTTCTCTCGTACTGCCGGCTTACGCTCACGCACAGTCCGACATGCATCTTGCCCCCATACCTTCGCAATGATTTTTCGTTTATTTGTAGCTCTCTCTTTCTCATTCTTTCTTATTCTTTATCTGTTGCTCTCGCGCGGTCTCTCTCTCTCTCTTTTTGTTTTTTTTTTTTTTCTCGCTTCCTCTCTTTCTCTCCTTCTCTCCTTCTCTCCTTCTCTCCTTCTCTCCTTCTCTCCTTCTCTCCTTCTCTCCTTCTCTCCTTCTCTCCTTCTCTCCTTCTCTCATTCTCTCCTTCTCTCCTTCTCTCCTTCTCTCCTTCTCTCCTTCTCTCCTTCTCTCCTTCTCTCCTTCTCTCCTTCTCTCCTTCTCTCCTTCTCTCCTTCTCTCCATCTCTCCTTCTCTCCTTCTCTCCTTCTCTCCTTCTCTCCTTCTCTCCTTCTCTCCTTCTCTCCTTCTCTCCTTCTCTCCTTCTCTCCTTCTCTCCTTCTATCCTTCTCTCCTTCTCTCCCTCGCTCCTTCCCTCGCTCCTTCTCGCCCTCGCTCCTTCTCGCCCTCGCTCCTTCCCTCGCTCCTTCTCCCCTCCTTCTCTCCTTCCTTCCTTCTCTCTCTTCTTCTCTCTCTCTCTCTCTTTTTCTCTCTCTTTCTCTCTCTTTCTCTCTCTTTCTCTCTCTTTCTCTCTCTTTCTCTCTCTTTCTCTCTCTTTCTCTCTCTTTCTCTCTCTTTCTCTCTCTTTCTCTCTCTTTCTCTCTCGTTCTCTCTCGTTCTCTCTCGTTCTCTCTCGTTCTCTCTCTTTGCCTCTCTTTCCCTCTCTTTCCCGCTCTTTCCTGCTTTTTCCCGCTTTCTCCCGCTTTCTCTCTTTCTCTCTTTCTCTCTTTCTCTCTTTCTCTCTTTCTCTCTTTCTCTCTTTCTCTCTTTCTCTCTTTCTCTCTTTCTCTCTTTCTCTCTTTCTCTCCACGTGACCAGGACAAAAGTTTCCCCCGCGGGATCCTATGCAGATGGAGATCAGAGAACCATGCGCCTAGAAGAGTGGGAGTCGGCTCGGGACGGCTCGAGGGCTCGCCTGTACCGTCCCGTCGCCGCATGGGCCTCCCGAGTCGAATGGCTGCATCGACTACTACGACTGCGGCCACGACCATGACGACGTCATTGTTCTTGTCGTGGTACTCGTCGTAGTACTCGCCGCAGCACTTGTCGTCGTACTACTACTCGTAGTGCTCGTCGTACGTCATGGTCGTCGAAATCGTGGTTTCTCCGAGTCTTTCCGATGAGCTGCTGCGCATTT